CGCTCTTCTTAATGCACCCCAAGATCCCATTGGCCAAATTCTTCCTTTAAGTTCAAACAGCTCCTGATACACACTGTTGTACAGCACCTGATATACACCTTCAGCTACAGACATACAGGATAGCATTTTAGAAATCATCAAGAAATGATTTAGAAGACAAAAGGAAATAGAGAAAATATCAGCAGAAAAAAAAGCAGGAAGTACTAAAATTTTAATTGTAATTGATAATGATTATTTTCAAAAGCAGCTCACAATTTAAACGTGCCATAATGTTGTCTCACTATGTTAATACGCACATTGTGTCTTTGATGAAATTATCACAGAATTCCTAAGGAAACAAAGTTTCTTTTAGTTTGAAGCCCACAAATTTGCATAAAAATCAATTTGTCTGATGACATAGATAAACTAGAAGTATGATTATAAATACTAGGAACAAAATACTAAAGTCTAGAAAAAAAAAAAGAGAGAGAGAAAGTATTTGTCCCTGTGGTACTGGCTAGAATCCAGAAGATGAATTCAGCTCTGAGATGGTGCCACAGAAGCTAACAGAATTATGCAAGAGAATCATTTGACCTTTTTATTTAATATAATTGTGTCTGGGGAGTTCCCTATGGTCTGAGCATGGGCACTCTCATTAAAGAATAAATATTTCTACATTTGGAAGAAAAAGCAATTTCAGACCTGAGAGAATCAAGTTTAGATTTTGCTTATTCGTTTATCCTTTTAGGCATTAAGAATACATTCCATGACAGCTGATACCAGTGATTGGATTTACTGGGCATGAAATCATCCTCATGTCTCACCAGATGAGGTGGGATATGTAGGAGACATGAACAGAAAATGCAAGTTTCTGATGGTAGAGTCTGGAAGAGGAGATGTAAATAGCTTATGTAAATAAGCTTAGAACAGAATGTAAATCTTATGTAAATAGCTTAGAACAGAAGTGATGGTATTAAAGTTTCTTTCATTACTGATGGGTGAATGACATTACTGATAAAGGCTACTGTTTATTTGGATGCCTAGTTTTTAAAATTTACTTTGCTCCCTGTACAACCATCTACTTGCTACTTGGTTTGCCTGGATATAGCAGTGATCTGTACCTTTCAATACTTTTTTCCTCTTTATTTGAACTTATTCTGCCAAGATATTTATTAAAGACAACTCCATGTGTGGATGTCTCTTTGAAAGCAGTAAGTAGCATGATCGCACTGAACAATAAAACGCTTTCTGTCACCAGTAAACAAATGGGAATACAGAGAAGACGCTGATGTTACAAATTTTAGACTGAACTAATATTAGCACCACCAAGTATAAAACTGACATAACAGTTTCCATGGAAGGTCACCTTTCATCATATGGAACACCTTTCATCAGCAGGCATACACATGAGCTTGAAAAGACATTTTACATATTAATACATGCGGACATCGTATTTTCTTTAGTTTAGACTCTACAAAATGGTTTGTGTGAACATGCGTATAAATCAGGACTTTTTTTTCAATTTCTGGACTTTTTACAAATAGTCTAAATTTAGCAATTTTAAATTCTGAAAATAATTTTCAACTGTTATATTTTTCCCCAGTTTTTGTTAAACAAACAGGAGTAAACCCACATAAATTCATAGATTTAGGAAGTCTTCGGTGTTTTATTTGTTCAAGTTTCATCTTTAAATGTAATAAATATTTAGGAAAGTCTCCTTAGAGAATAGTGTGCAGAAGTTCACATGGAATCTTTTTTCCTCTTTTTTTTTCTTTTTTTCCCCTGGGCAGCTTCCCATCTTTTTCTAATAGTTTCTCTTTAAGCAGATTTTTTTTTATACTGTAGCCTCTGGCAATAAAGCTCTTAACTGTCACTAAAAGCTTCAATACTTGATCTTTACTATCCCCATCAATCCTCTTTATTCTAATGAGCTGGATAGATGGGAAGACTGTTCTTAAGCAGCTAGAGATAAAGTTATCAGTATGCAATTGCTTGTTCTCTGTATTCCTGAGGGGGAAGGGGGAACCGCTTTATCATATCTCTGGCACCATCCATCCATACAATTCTGCTGTATACTTGAAAAGTGCAGCTTAATATATTGTTCCTGGAATAATACTTGTACTATATATTTCTCATCAACATAAATAAAACACTAGTGCAATTGAAATTCTTGGATATATTTTTGCTGACAGATTTTAACGCATTTTAAAATTTCTGTCTCTGTTTTGTAGAAGGTCCTTGCAATTCTTTCATTCTAAAAAATTGAGCAACTTTCCAAGTCATAAATTTCTTTGTGAATAGGAAAATTAAGGTAGCAACACACAGTGAATAATATTTTGAACACATACTCAGCTGATATAGCATTTTAGGAGGGGAGATAAATAATCCAGAGATAAAATTGTATTATCTAACATGAAAGAGATAGAGATTTTATGTAATTAATTTCTTTAGTATTAGCAGTTATAACATTTATCATAATGCCAGTACCAATGATTTCTGTGTTCTTAGCTTTCTCTTGTAATAATTTCACATGCAAAACATTATATCCTTTAATATAAAATTCTTCTGTGAACTCTCACACAGTGTTTCATGTCCCCATATTACAGTGACAAAGCCTGACCTCTAGTAATGAAAAAGGACTTAGCTTACCAGGCAAGGGCTCCTGATCTGCATAGAGGGCTGGCAGTTCCACACATTTGTCTTCATTAGGGTTGAACCAGCAGTCAAAAGCTAAATACATCTCTTCATTCGTGGCTGTGTGCTTCATATGCAGTAAATCCAAGTGCCACGGCTGTTTTAATTTGCTATGTGGGCCCATTACCTGAACTTTGTAGACTGAGCCAATATCTGTCAGTTCATCCTATGTGAAAAAAAGACAAAATGAATGGATCTCATCCGAGCTGTGCAAGATCAAATGAACTTATCAGAACATTTGAAGGCATTTGTATGTAAGAGTTGAACAAACTTCCATAAAGGATTGGAACAGATTTATAACTGTTACTGCTTTCTCCCTTTCTAGTCAATATAAAATTGATCTGCTGATCTGAATGAGGAAATGACACTCTAGATGTTTGATACCAGAGAACGAGTCACTGCAGAAAATTGCAGAAATTTGTACACAGAACAAAGCACAATGATTCATATAAAAAGCACTGATGTAGGAGATTATTGCAGACACATAAGTTTTCAAGTCAATTAAAAAATATCTGAACACTACAAAAATCTTACAACTAGGAATATCAAAATGAACCAATCGATTTTAAATTTGAAGGAGAAATACTCTGATTTTGAGAAATCATCCAAAACTGCTGTTCAATGAATCCCCTCTTCAACTTGTTCCTTCTACACTCTACACTATATTTTCTTGTAGAAGTTGTCCACTAAAATTGTTCTTCTACATTCATGTTTGAGAAAGACTCTTGTGGTTCTACTGGGAACTGCAGAGCCTCTCTGGCTTATTCCACTTGGGTAGGTTAATAATAATAACAACAACAACAACAACAACAATAATGTTTTTGACTAATTATTTGTCCCTGCTGAGAGAAAAAAAAAAAACAGTAGTCTTTTTGTATTCTTCTCTGCTCCTCTTTCATTGCAAACATTGCCTAGCTAGTAGGAGTGTATATGACCTCACTTCAATCTTTTCTCTGATTGGAGACTTCCACTTTCATACTTCCAACATTCATTGCTTCATATTTAGCAGAGGTTCTCTAGCAGAGGAAAAGCTACTGGTTACACCTCATTTTGAATCATGTTTATAGACTAAGCAAACTAGCCAGGTTCCTCTTTTATCAAAGAAAACAAGTAGAAAACATCAATAAACAGCCAATTACTTCTGTAGAGCAATCATTAAGTCTTATTTACCTGACAAGCAGAAAAAGCACCAGGAGACAATTTCTTCCTCAGTAACCTAAGGTTGAACTCCAGTATCAAAAGTAGCATACTAACTCTTTGGGCTTTTTAGCAGGTTTCCCTTTACCTCTGCTTTGCTGATTTTCTTTTGCTACCTGCTTCTCCTGTTCCACCAGTCAAATATGAAGAAACTCTTTCAACATAGGTTCATGGACACATTTTTCCTATGCAAAGCTGGCTTCTGAATCACCAAACTGTCCTGTCTTTCTACTTTCTCCCACTCCCTCAGTCCTACTATATATTTGTTTCTGCGGCTGCACAATAAACCTTGCCAGAGAATGATCAAGGTGAAAATTACCTTGATCCTCATTTTTTCTTGCAGGGAGCAATTGTTTCCTCAAAACCCATAAAGAATAACTGAAGAGGTGAAAGAGGGCATGGAACAAGCAATACAAGGGTAGAAAAAGTACTTCCCTTGAATAGCTCTTGGCCTCCAGCATGCTGTGACTCAGGGATTTCCTGAGTCAAAGGTGACAGCTGCAATTTTTACCTTGAGGTCGGTTCCAAAATCTACTGGATTGGTCATTCATTGAAAGCAAAACCAGAAATGCATAAGGAGAACATAGGATAGGTACTGGGGAAGGAATCACAGATTCAAGAGTGAACTCTTGAGTCACTTATTCTGTCACCCTAAAAGTGACAGAATAAGAAGCAGACCCCGGTTCAACGACACTGGGTCTCAAATGCTTGATAATTTTTCAGTTGATGAAGAACAGAAGGAAGCAGAGACAAATGAGAGAGAGGAAACCAGAATAGGAAAAGAGAAAAGTTGTAGGGGAAAAGGAGTTGAGCAAGAAGAAAAAGAAAACAATTACAACAGGCAAAAAAAGAGAGCAAAAAATATGCAAGAGAAGGCAGGCATGATACACATCGCGACAGAGGTGTATGTTTTCATGAGGGAGAAAAACGAAGCAAGTTCCATGCCATTTTTGTCTCTTCTCTCTCCATCCCAGGAAATTCCAATATAACCCATGTCATATTAGATATTTACAAACTGCTTACTTTTGAGAGATGAATAAAATCTGTAAATCAATACCTGCAATCTGGCATACACTGTGATATGCACCAAGGGAACAATTTTCTCACTTAGTATGAAACCTTAGGAGGATCTACTCATTCAAGAACCATTATTCAAGTGCCGGTGTTACCGGTATCTATCAAAAAAGGGATTACTAAAGAAAAATCTACTAACAGCAAACTACCAAACTATGTAGAGGACTAGATAATCAATTTAGCAGTTTAGTTAAAAAAAACTATCATCTCAGAATTAAGAGTGTTTGCAATACATGATTCTATGTCTTTTCTTGTAATACATAAAGGTTGAAGTACTTGGATTTGAATTGCTTTTCCAGTAATTTGAAGTGGCAACTCTTTGTGATTCAGGTCCCCATAGAAGATGAGAGAGAGATGTATTGGATCCACTTCATTGTTCAAGTCAGATCCAGTGATGTCCATTATCCAGAGACCTGATAACTGTATGTTCATTTCAGGTAGTTTTGGACTAGAAATCAATCTTTTGCCTTTAAAAAATGATCAAAGAAAAAGAGGAAAGAAGACAGAATGAGAGAATGGCATAATATAACAGGACCATAGGCTTTATGGTACACAAACAAAGCTGTATTTGCAGGTTATGTTGTATCTATGGCAACAGTTCCCTAAGAATAACACATCAATACCTTTATTACATTTCTTTTTGCCAAGAATTTAACAGCTTAATGCTCTTTGTGTGTTTAAAATTTAGTTTCACAGTTTTTTTTCTTAATGCCAAGTTATTTTTCTTATCATTTTTAAAAATAATTATTAAAAGAACATTCAGTCACCTTTCAAAAATCAAATTAGTTCTTAAAAAAGCCAATCAACGTTACTAAAAAATAATTCATCATTTGGAAGCACCAGCCATCTGTATCATGTAGACACTTAACACAAAATGAATAACACCAATGAACTCCACTTGTAACTGGATCTTTTCTAGCAATATAACACCTGCTGTAATAGTGTTAGACTGACAGGGGAACATATGATAAACACACAAAGACATTTGCTGGATCCTCAAAAGATCAATGATATTATCTCCTTCTCTCTCCTCTTTTTTTTTCTCACATTAATTTTACTTCATTTTAACTCCATTTTAACCATTCTACGCAGAAAAAAAAAAAAGATTTAGTGGAAAAGAGCAACTTAGTAAAATCTACTTTCTACAAATTGAAAGAAAAAAAGAGCAGTAATTCAAGTAACTGCTTATCTACCTTGGACACATTATCTTTTTAAGCCATCTTCTTTTTCTCTGATCAAACTGCTGAAGCTCATTTCTAGCTTCATATGGAAGCTTCATATGGATTTTTTTTCACAGGATGGAAGGAAAGAATTTCTTTCTACTGCTTGTAAATGGCCAAAAGTCCTGCCACTTCCATCTGTCAGTATTCTCTTGCCAAATACATCCGGGTTTGGATTTGCATGACTTCTGGAGTGGTAGGCTTGAACTGTGCAGAACAACTAAACGTACTAAAACTATACTGTAGCTCTGCAGTGTTACAGTATCGTTCCATAGTATTACACAGGATTATACGTATATAATTCCACAGAAATTCCACATATAATTCCACAGTACTCTGTGGAATAATACCACAGATAAAAACTAGGTTTGTTTCACTACAGTAACTTTTCTCGGGGAAGTCTGGAAAGTAACACACAACATTTAAGTCATTATTTCCTTGAAGCATACGTTTCAAATTCTAATACCTGCATAAAATCTTTCATTGCAATGTCCTAAATTCAATCCAGAAGGCTGGTGTTCCATACACAACTCACTGACAGTATTAAATTTAATTATCTTTGACCTTACCAGTTGTGGTATTGCAATAATAACAAAAAGAAGCTGAAAATTCATAGCATTTTCAGGGAAATATGTTATAGGAATCTGAGAGAGTTATGAACGAATTCAAAAAAATAAACGAACAGGCAGGCTAGTCTTCCAGAAAATCTTACCAACGGTCAAAATCTCACAAGCAGTCCCACATAATCCCAGATGAGTATCAATCCAGTTACAACATGGGAAAACCCATTCTTTGTCTGAGTCCTGAAACTCCCGGACTGTTATCATCTTCAGGTACATCCCAGCCCCATATCCTTCTCCATCATGTTGGATGACTACTTTCTGCAAATGACCCAGAGAAACAGCTTCCACCAAAAATGAGTCCACCTGTTGAAACAGTAAATATTTAGTAAAGAAGAATGTTTACCTTTTAAATATATACAAATAACAATCAGCAAGCTCAGATGAACACAGTCCAAAAATTTTGGACCTGAATATGCTTGACCTTCTAGGGAAGTTTGGCCCTGGATTTGGCTCAGCTTTTGAAATCTGTACTTGTTTTTTCTTTTGTTTTCGTTTCTGCTTCTGTTTTATTTGCTTGTTTGCTTGTTTGTAACACAACTTCTGTTTTAACACAACCTCTCTTTTCTGAATCTAAGAAAGTAAATACAAATTATTTCTAACACTGAATACCACATCATCATTAATTATGCACTGTAACTGCAGTCTTTGGACAATATGAAGTATTTCATCAGTCACTTCAAATTACATAAAACTATATATTCCTCAAACCTCAGACTACCAAAGGCATATGGCAAAATCTTGGTTCTCATGAAACTCCTGGCTTTCAGGGAAATGCTACTTGCAAAAATCCATCATGCAAGCCTACATATTAATAGAGTCCTAAAGAGAATTTAGAAACCTAGAAAAACTGTGTTCACCACAGGAAAGCTGTCTAAACTATTCTAAAGTAGTTAGAAAGGTAAATTTTTTTCTGGCATAAATGAAAGTCAATGTAGAAAAATAAAATTAAAAAAAAAAAAGAGTAAAAAAAATGTGAAGAACTTGGAGCAAAAGACTCAAGATGGAAAGGAAAGCAGAACGAAGAAGGGTAAGGCAAAGAGAAGGAAACTGGGTGTCATGGAAATGAGAGTGAGGACTGCAAAAAAAGAACAAAGTAAGGAGTAAGTGAAATACAAAGAAATAAATAATATGCCCCACTAAATTCTTTCTTGTTTCATAAGAGAAACAGATGTCCTGTGTATGGCCTAGCTAAGGGCCAGATAGACCTGGCAGTAGCTAATAATGATCAAGTTTATAAACAAATAACACTTAGACAACTATGCCTTAGATTATAATCAGACATCATTATCCCAATAAAACATTGATTCAGTAATAGGAATTTGCCAAGCTGGATTATGGGAGAATTAGAAAGACAATATTAACAAAGTGACCTTTAAAAATGTATTCCTTGCCAAAGTCCTATATTTTCAGGGCCACTTTTAAAATAAAAAATAATAAAAAATTAGCATTCATTTCATTAATGTTATGAATGCTTCTATACAAAAAAAATCAAATTTCTAATTAACAATAGCCAAGGCTTGACAGCCAGATTGCAAGCAAAAATCATTAACTTTTATAATTAAGGTATTCTAGGGGAAAATCTGTACACGAAGGCAAATTAAAATAATTATTGCATAGTGTTCTCTTCTGGATGCAAGCATAGTGCTGAGATGTAGAGAGAAGTAAAAGTTAGAAAGTCTGTCAGATTGTTATTGAATCCAATTTTACCCTAGGAAAATTGCTGTTGTAATTTGCTCCTTTCTTGAGCATGGCTACCTTGGCAGTGAGTAAAAAATAAGATGATCTGCTTTTTCATAGTAATGTATTTTGCATATGCTCCTCTGGAACCCGATTATCTTCTTATGGGGATCTTCTTGTTCAGGCAGGAAATAACATTGTCATTGGTCTGCTGCAAATATCCAGAAGACAAATTCTGTTCCCAGCTCACAAGATACAACTTGAGGATGTATTAAGTGATAGAGAGGCAGCAATGTTAGCCCTAGTAAGAAAGCACTTTTGTACCTTTACCTTATTCCTTTGAAATTTTCTTCCATTTGCTAAAGATGTATGAAGTTTCCTCACACCTGTGTCCCCTTTTTTGCCATAGAGAGTGATCCAAACATTTGCAAAGGTTTCTGCTCCCCAGCGGTCACCAATGTGTACAGAGACAACATACTTATAGACTGCAATAAAAGAGTATTTAATGAAAACAGACTAAGTACAAGTGTTTACTTAAAGAAAAACAGCAAAGTGGATTATTTAGTAAGACTACAGCTCGTTCTTATTTCTGCACTTACAAAAAATATGCCATATGGTGATTAAAATAGCCAGAGGTCAGATTCACACATTCGTAAATCTGACCTATTCTTGCTTAAATCAATGAATTCTTTCCATTGACTTCTTTGGGAATTTGAAGGAAATTGAGCTCATACAACTTAAACCTATGCAACTTGAAGTTATACATACAAATTCTGTTTAATTCTATTTTACTGTGCAAGACCTAGAAAATAAGGACTTGGCTGAGATCATTCATGGGCTGCATGATCTTTGCAGCAGTTAATAGTCATCACAGGTCAAAGAAAAACCCACTGTGCAAAGTTTATGTAAATTAGAAGAGCAGAGACAGGTGTAGCATAGGATAGGGATGCACAACTTGACATACACAACTGCATTTTTTAAATGCACTGATTAATTTAGAGTACTTCAATAACACTTTTTGCCTCTTAGTGTTCCTGTTTATATGCACATTTATATGCACAGTCAGATTGGACTTTCTTCTGAGAAAAATCATTAACCTGTGATACAGACAGAAGGACCACAATTTTTTGATTGTCATTTTTAACATATGGTCTTGTCGAGATAATATTAACCACCTCAATGCTACCCTTTTTTTAAAGGGTAAAGTGTTGTCCTCACTTTTTTTAAAGTCACATATATTTTTGAGTTACTTAAAGACAATCACTGCTGGAATATTAATTTAGAAAAGCAGTCATGTCTTTAATTACTTTTATCTCATGTATAACTGCATTCTTTTCTGAACAAATGCAGAACTTCTATGGGCCTTCACTTTCCAAGTGCATTTCTGAGTACACTCTAAAACTCTTAGCACATCACAAAAATGTCCTGAGGGAAAAACAAACATGAAACTTTTTTTTTTGCACTATGAGGACTACTGTTGATACTTGTTTTAGCGACTAAAGCTGTTAGAACCTAAATAATTCAATAAAAAATCTACCACAAATCACTTAAGCAGATTTCAACATGTGCTTTATCTTTAAAAAGCATAATTATATTCCTCAATTTTGCACACTTAGAATTATGCAGCAAGATTCAGCAACTGTGAAGTCCAATTTGCTGTTTAACTGGAAAGATGAAATGTCTTAAATGGTCAGGATTTTTGCAGTGCATGTACAGTTGCCATGGATTCATTGAAGATAACAAACCCAGAAAAGGAGATATGTATCTGTAGTGCTGATTTCTTTTCAAGATGTTGGTACATGCAGTTCATGTCATCTCACTAATTTTACCTGGTAAAGTTTTCCCGTCCTCACCCACTGCGGGGAATTCTTTCACCAGCTCCCTGTCTTCTCTGGTAAGAGAGAGCCAGCAGCTACAGTCAAAGTTCAATTCTTGTTTTGTATGTAGCTCTTCTATGTGAAAAGACTTCAAATGCCAACCCTCAAAGCCTGGCATATCATCACAGCTGACCCGAATCTTGTATACATTTCCCACGTCTCCAGTTTCAACCTGCAACAAATATCATGAGAAAGACTGTATTGTCAGGGCTGCTTCACTTTTTGCAAATAGTGTAGGACATGAACCAATGGAAAAACTGAATCTGAGGGAAGAAAAGGTGTGGTTTGGGAATTGATCCCTCTTTTTCATGTATCCCCTCTATGATCATGGGTAAGACTGCCTCTTTGATTTTTCTCTGATCTGGTATTAGTTTTATACACTTTGCCAGTAAGGTGAGTCAAGATTTAAATCAGTAAAACCTGTGCATGTAAGTTCTTTAGACAAAAAGCACTGCATAAAACTTTGATCCTACTGGATAAAGAGGGACTTAGCTCTAGATAAAGGCTCTGATGTCAGGACACAAGTGATAACTAAAGATAATTATGATTAGCCTAGAGAATTTTAACATAATTCTCCTTTGCAAAGTGATTGAATTTTTTTAAAAAATCAGATTCTTATGTAACTACTTCTATGGAAAAGAGAAGGCATTTTTCTGCATAATAGTATATAATTAATGTTGCTGAAATAGCTTTGCAGGACAGAGTAGCCCCATGACCATACCACGTGTAGGAAATTTAATATTCACTTGCTGACTGTGGGCTTCTGGAGACCAAGTTAAACCCTCCAAGCCAAGGGCTATGGGAATGTAGGATGACCAAACCACATCGACTGCTAATGATTCCCATATCATTAAACACTGCACAAAAAACATCTTCTGAACTCCAGGAGGAAGAGTGCTGTTTCCTTCCATTGGGCAACTGCAAGGAAGACAGGGAAGGAGGGGGTTTCCAAGTGAAAAAGAAAACTTTATCTTTTTTTTTAAGATAACAATTATTTTAAAGATGATCCAAACGGAAAATGTTGCCAGTGGCCTTGTTCTTCTCTCCTATGCAGATTTTTCCAGACCAGTCGCCATGTAAGCTTTGGCGATGGAAGCCAGGAAGTAAATCCTTCATGCACTCAGTAGCATACTAGTAAAATACTGAAGTTAGTCACACAATCCTGCACTAAGACCACCAGCAGACTCTTCTTTGAGCCAGAGCACATAGCTCCTAACAGCCCGATTTATTCTGCTTCTCAAATAGAATTCTGCATTTGGCAGACCTTGAGTGCTGACCTAGCTTGCTTAAAGCCAGTCCATGCGCCTTTGCACAGTGCAGACGTTCATGCAAGGAAGCATCACTGTGAAAAGTATGTTCCTGTCATTCAGGGAGAGTTGGCCACCTTTGCCAATAAAGGCTGTGCAGATAAGAAATAGTAAAATGTCAAAGCATTATAAGTAATGGTAGATCAAAAAGAATAAACCTCACAAAATCATTTTACAAGAACTTGAACTATTTGTGAAGTGAAATACATGAAAAGCAGCTGGTGACAGCAAGGCCTCCCAACCTGATGACCTACAGGACCCTTCCAGCCCAAATATTTTTAGATAAGTATCATAAACGTTTGCTGCGACACTCATAGAAAATTTCTGGGCACAAGGCACTGTTCTTTAAGAAGCAGGGAAAAAATCTTTCCCACTGTCTATAAAAGCAGTAGCTTGGTTCTGTGATGGTCCTGCAGGAAGCTCCTAGCTCCCAAACCGTAACTTCACTGCATGCATGATAGTCACATGGCTTTACACAGCTTTACCCCGAAAAGGGCACCAGACTTGCCTTCCCTGTGGGCCCAGCCTGACGGGCTTGCTATTAGGCAAGGCCAGCCCAGACTGCAAAACATGTGTGAGGGGCTTTATGGCTCTTGAATTTAGCACGCGCTTACAGAGTCCTGACTTGGTATCCACCATTGCTCTATGTTAAGCGAAATGTTATGTGGGCAGCATTTTATGTCAAGAGTCTTTTATTCATGCTGTGCATGCTGTAAAGTGTATCGTTAGCCCTGGTGCTCTAGGCGGTCTAAGATGGATCTCATGACTGGATCACAGAGCTACTTTAAATTATTCCATAAAGCTTTGTAGTTTAGAGTTACAACATTACAGAATTCAGATATTTTTATTTAACAGGGCAAGTCGTATCTCACATTTTACTTTGTTTTCTGCTACTCAAATGCACAATTTTCTAGACGTGTGCTGTGTACCCTGCAGGAAAAGTGCACCTAATATATACAGGAAATTAATTCCAGAATACAGTACAGAATCACAGAACCACAGAATGGTTGAGGCTGGAAGGGACCTCTAGAGATAATCTAGTCCAAGCCCCCCTGCTCCAGCAGGGACACCCAGAGCACGTGGCACAGGGTGGCATCCAGGTGGGTTTTGAAGATCTCCAGAGAAGGAGACTCCACAGCCTCTCTGGGCAGCCTGTTCCAGGGCTCCATCACCCTCCCAGGGAAGAAGTTCTTCCTCATATGGAGGTGGAACTTCCTGTGTTTCTGCTTGAAAGCCAATTTTCTCTTTCTTTTTCTAGAATCACAATTCCACTGAAATATATGAGTGCCTTTAAACCTAAAAGCATCTTACACACCTTACTATCCACAACCTCTTGAATTAAGCATCACCAAATATTTTCAGTTTAGAGTATGACATATTCCTCCCTTTTTATAAATACTTTTTTTTTCCCATAAGACTGGTCTTTTTTAATCATTTCTGTTAGATTCATCATTGTACATTGTCAACAGTACATACTCATCACGTCATTTTCATAACCCTTTCATGAGCAATTTTATATGATGAATTTCACTTTAGAAATTCTCTATCTTTGTTCCCCTAAGTGGATTTTCCCCCCATCAATGCCTACTAACTGATGCAAAAAGATCTTCAAAGCAAAGATGGAAGAATAGTCCATCATAAAGAATAGATACAAGGAATTTTCTCTTTCTGAGTTTACAGAATATTGGCAAAAGGGCACTTTTTACCTCACTTTTATTCACGATGCAAATTTCCTAGTTAACAGATTTTTTCCAAATAGCTTTATGTAAGATTGTACTTGAACTCTGATCTGTGATGGACTCAGCTAAATAGCACAATATTATTTTCATTGTGTGATTGAAGGAGAATATCTCTTATAATCAAGAATTTCCCTTGATGAAGTTCCAGGACTTCATTTCAGAAGATTTTTAATCTCTCAGAAATAGGTAACTGATGAAGTTATAGAACTTCATAGATTATAGAACTATAGAACTTTATAGATTATAGAATATCATACGATTTAAAATCTTTTCCTTTTTGAATCACACAGGTCTTCTCCAAAGACAAAGCTTAAAGTAATTTAAAGTCTGTAAAATGTATTGCCTGGTTCCACACTAAAATTAATTTTTCTATCACTTCCCTGTAAAAAACTATGCATGCACCAATGATTCTCATTATGAAGAGCATGGTCAGTTCATCTAAAAACTTTCTGTCATAAAATCTAGAAATCCTGCTCTTTGTTGTTTGAAGCATCATCCCACACTGTAGAAAATACACGAAGTATTGAATTAGGAAATTTAATTTTTTTGTCTTCCTTTTTTCCATTAACATAAAAAACATTTCATACTTGTGTTTTGTATTTGTGCATGGGTCTATGTACAGAACTTTGTGGTCACAGTATTATTGCTTATATCATTTGTGCTGGTTCTGAGAAACAGTTTTAGAATCCCAATCCCATGATTTGTCCATTAGTATCACTTTGCATTCTATGATTGTCTGGATAATAGAACATGCAAAATGCACTAGGTGCTCTCCAAAGGCAGCCTATTATAAGCTTTTTTTTCTCTAAATAGGCAAAAAACACACCAGCATTTGAAAGAAAGATGCATATAATTTACAAATTTCCTCACTCCATATGATATCAGTAACTGATCTCTGCGATCACTCAAACACCAACAAGAAAAATTTTCACTGCACTTACTTTCATTTTCCCAGTGTTTTCAATGTATCTGTTCTGTTCATTGGAGAGAGTGCTGTTTTCTGCCATGCTATCTGAGATGCTAAAACTCCCAGCAGATTCAATAACACAGATTAAATTCACTTATTTCTCTATTTATTAGAAGCAATGTTTTCAGATTAAATTTATTCTTATGTCAACAGCTCACCCACTATAGTGCAGCTACCTGGGACCACTGAAACCAAAACATTTATCTTGTTAGTATGCTGCTATTTTATCTCTCCTGGCAATTTATTAACATTTGCTATGTGCTACTAAAGTACATCTGTCCTTTCATATGAGATGATCAAAACAATTTTGGACCATATAATCATTGTGAATATGGTACACAACTGTGTATGTATTTATAGAAGAACACCTGGAAAATTGGGAATTTAGATGCATTCAAGTCCTAAGTGTGCAATAAATATATCTCTAAGATCAACATTAAGCCTACTGTTCAAAAGCAATGTGAGCTGCTTATAGCATGTGTTGTTCTTTTTGCTGCACTGTATATTGCTAAGGAAACTTGTCTAAGACCAGGATCTTGGGGAGGTTTAAATGTTCATTTCCTTTTCATTTCCTGTTCCTTTCCAATTTTTGGCAGCCCTTCTCCACTGTGACATCCCATTATGCCTCCAACATGCTGTTGCAGTGGGAAAAGGTTCTTTTGTATTACAAATAGCTTTAGTAAGTACAAATAAAGAGAGAATAAAAGGAAACTAGATTTATTAGCAGAACTCGTTCTGCAAAAGGTGGTTTCTGAAGATATCTGCAAAACCCTAAGCACTTATAACAGGTTTGTTACTCTGGCCTCCTAAGAACAAGCCCTGTAAGCAGCTCCGTAAGCAGCACAGCAAAGACATAAAATTTCAGATGCAATAAACAATGCTCAGATAGTATAAAAAGCAACAAAGCCAAGGACAAAAATACAGGCACTAACCCAAAGCCAATCCAAGTTATGAACACGCGTTTATAGAAGCATTAGGATAGAACCCCATTAAGATAGAATAGGGTACTATGGTAGAAGGAATGGTAGAATAGGCCAAACAACCAGACAGATACATAGCGTACATTGTCACTGAAATTAGGTGATCTTAACAAGCAATACATGACGCTTTGGAAATTACTGAAAATTTGGATGCAGTAGAGGTCTGCTTTATGGAATGATGCTTTCCAAAATCCAGCCAGCTTGTGTGTCTGTTCCACACACAAGACTGCCTCTATTGACCTCTCTAGTTTATGTCAATGAGTTAGGAAGATCCTTTTGTTGCTCAGTCTGTTTTCTGATAAGCAGCTGCTTTCTTGTCTTTAGCAAGTGTCATTATCTTGTCATTTACTCCCTCTAAAGTTCCTAAATTATGTTAGCTTGTTATTTAACTTAAAAATTCAGCCTGGATCAGGTCATTATGATGAAGCTCCGATACAGCTGCTTGAAAACATTTTCTCTACGTAGTTTTGTCTTTGTTTCCAAATGTTTATTGCAGCCATTTAAATGATTTTTCTGAGCTTTATAAAACTGCTGTGAATGCAGACTGGTTCTTTCTTTTGACTGTCTAGAAGCTGCATTTCCATGCCAATCAACAGAATTTGCAGTGCCTTAGCTTAGCTTCAGGACAGAATTTGGGCATTTAAAAGATGCCTTAGATGAATCCTCTCAAAATGGCAAGATAAGAGTGAGGTGTACAGATAGTTAGAACTATGTTAGGGTTGCTTTCAATTACATTATTGCTTCAGAGCTCATAGGCTTGAATGCTTTCTCCTGTGATATACAATTATCTAGAAAAATCCTATGTACCTGCCGCTCTGACAGACAGAACTACATTGGAGGAAGTGGGGATGGCTTTACAAAGACTGTGAAGGGAATGAAAAGCCCACTTATGTCCTCTAGGCATACTGTCCAAATCCTTCATGTTCTGCATTCTCAAATGATGGTTATTGCCTTTCATATAAACTGCAACTCAGGATTCTTTAGAGAATTGAAAAAATACAAGAGAAGATATGGTGAATGTAATAAATTATACAAAAGGGATCATTTATCCCCTTGATTCATATTCTTGAAGGCACTGAAAATCCAAAGAGAACACTGCAGAGCTGACTCCAGTAAAATAGATCTACAAGCATCAGATGGTTCAAAATCTAAAATTAAATCATTCCATCTTTGTAAATAAAAAGTAATAAAAAGCAAGCAAAAGTCATTTGTAGCAAGCAAACTAGCATTCCATATATATGCACATATCCTTTGGTGGGAAGGGAATATCATGATAATCTCTCTGTAATACTGTATATTTACGACTTACAATGAATTCGTCTGTTGCTTTTGGTAGAAAGCACACGTATCCTGGGTTTCGTGGAGAAAGCAGAAGGTCATCACTTTTGCCTTTCGAGCCATAAATCACAAGGGTTCTTTTACACTCCTGTGGCTCTGGGGAATCTCCATCTGTTTGAACCTGCACCCTCCACTGTTGTCCTAAATAAAATAGAAACATCATCACATATTTCATATCAAGGGAGGACTGTAATTAATTTCCTCATTATTATTGTTACTACAATTTACATACTATGAATTTACATACTATTTTATAAAAACAGACACACATTCCTTCTTTGAACAATATTATAATTTAAATAAGACTTGATAAACACAGAACAACTGTTGAAGTGAGCATACAAGCAGAAATTAATATCAAGGAAAAACAATCTTTGGCTAGATTTTTGCATTCTCTATAAAAAATTAGTTGCTTTAATTGCAATAATTTATTTATTTTATTTTAGTCCTTTAAGTGTTTATGCATGTAATATGAAAGAGAAGACATGAATTTAGTCATCATTAATATATGATCCATTCTTAAAAACTACTGGCTAGAATACACAACTAGTCAAGTCAAATAATAAAAATTAAATCTCTTTCTCCAATATTTTTAACCTAATCTGTCATGCTGTTTGCTTATTTGTAAAATAAGGTTGTTCATTATAGTCCAATCCAAAATCTAGTTAATTCAAAAGAACGGCTTTCATTTACCTCTGCCCATGGATTAGCCTTTCACAGATTCTTTTTGATAGATGACACATAGTCATAATAACACTTGTAAATCCAGAATGCAACCAAGAATGTGTATGAGAAAGGATTAATTATTCCTGTTCAAAATGCAGCAGAAAATCATTCAAGATATGGAAAAAATATGTCTGAGATGGACATTGTACACTAGAAAGATAATTAACTGGTTGAATGTAAATCTTCACCTGAATTCAAATTGATTTTTTTTTTTCCCCAGAAAAGACACTTGCTTCTACATGGCAAAGAGAACTTAACAGTGAAAGGAAACCAAAGTCCTGTGTTTAGACTGCCAAATACAAACATAATTTGCTTATGGAATTATTAGGAAAGAGAATTATTTCATGAATGTGTGTAAGCCTACAATGGAATAAGTCAGCAGAATAATTTTTAATGTAACATATATAAAGTGGATATGATTTTTTTTTCTTAAAGTGCCATGAGCTTTATTCTTAAGTTTTGATTTCCTGCAGCTGTTTGGAATTGAGATTGGGTGAAAACATGTTTCATTTTTCTCTCTATGATTTTTCCCCCTGTTCTTTGCACATGTTTTATATAGCTTATTCTATTTTCCCCTTGTTATAAAAGCTTTTTCTGCATTACGTTTGACTGTTCTCTGATTCTTCTGGGCTCGGTTACAAAACAGCAGGCAAATACACATATCCCAGGCAGTCCACCGAGTAAGATGATAGCTGAAAGGATCTTTCCATCTGAACTCTTTTTTTGAGGTCATTTCCAGGAATGAGTCACACTTTGCCTAATGAGGAACTTTTGTTGTTTAAAATGTATGCCAGCTTTGAATTTTATCTCCCTGTGCCAGGTTGGCATGTGGTACCCTTTAGGGTGTCACACTTGGTGAAGTCAAACATCCTTTGAGCTTCTGCCATTTCTGACTACTCTAGGGCTTACAAATTCAAATTCTTACAAAGACTCCCACTGTAGCCCTGAACCTCTTATCCACTCCAACCACGGGCCATGTAAGCTACTTCCATTTTGAAGGGCATCACAGGTACACAGCATAGGGGAAATTAAGATAATTTTTCATTATCATTTGCTCCCTGGTGAGCTTTTATTTTCTCTCTGCAATTCTCTTCTGCTTTAGGAAAGAGCAAGCCCTAAGTTAAGAGAAAGCAAGGGTGCATATCTGTCTGTTTCCTCATCCAAGAAGCAGCATGATTGGAGAATGGATTTCAGGCAATGTGATTTATTTTAATTAATATCCATGATTACATTTTAATTATTATTTCAGAAGAAAAGCTAAGACACCAATTGGAAGTTTTCCAGGAAATGAATCAGTGGTTAACAGATTTAAGGCCTCTTAGCATCTGTGACTGCTTGTTTGCTTGCATTTACTTTTAATGCTTCCAAAACTTGGTCACTGAGCTAACCCAGATTGACTGCATTTTCTCTCAGTTGAGCACACTCATTTCAACCTGCTCATGCCAGAGTAAGAAAAGAACATTTGGTGTAATACTATATTCCCTTAGACAGCTACTCGGTAAAGATGGCTACACTAAAAAAGAAACTGAGTGCAAATACCTATTTGTTTCAGTGACTATCTATTTTCAGAAAATTTCAAATATTTCACTAACACCTGAAAATTAGATAACTGAGCCTGAGTATGTCCTTTTCTGCACTTCATATGTAAGGCCACATAAAAAAAAGATACTTTTCCCCTGATGTCACTTATCCACATTAGATTCATTTCAAAGTGATTAGTTTTAGTATGTTTTCTTACTTTTAGGCTATGTGCAAAGCTATAGCCATTTTCTTTGAGACATCTGTATGAGAATTGCTTAAATGAAAGACAGAGGAGAAATAGACTTCCATGAAAAAAAAAGTCAGAATTCTCTCTTTTCCAAAATAATACAACCAAAGCTCTTATTTCATGTTACTCCAGAGATGCGTGAGTCCTTTCTTGACTTTAAGAAATGAAATAGGATCAACTGTAATAAAATTCTTCCAGAAAGCCTTTTAACTACCACTTTGGAATCTGGAAGATGCTTGCAGCGTTATTGGGAAAAGTCAAACCCGCAGTGACTTCTGTGTATAGCAAATTGGGTAAAATATAGAGTTAATATTTTGTAAGCTCATTCAAAAAAAAAAAAAAAAAGGGGGGGGTTTTGATTTTCTTTTTTTTTTTTTTTTTTTTTTTTTTTTTTTTTTTTTTATTGAGAACAGCTTTTACATTGCTAGAGAATCGCTACCACTGGTTGGGGTCATAATACTCCAGTTACAAATTACTGGTGTTTTTTGGGCTTAAGAGCTAAAATGTTAATCACACTTTGCTAGATGTAGAAGTAGGTTGCTTAGTTCATGGAAATTGTAGAAATTTGGTTGCTTGTTCCACCTGTCTTGCAGGATTTTGAGGCACGCCGTGAGACTGTGTTAATTAGGGAATTCAGACACTACCTGGCAATATATACTGTATACTGCCCTTGATTTTTAAAAGCAGGACAAAGCTATTTATGTTTGGGGGATTCTGTGATTATTCTTACTCCATTACCAAAACTCACAAGGCATGGATTTCTTCTTTTATTTATTAATTAATTTATTTTATTTTAATGGACTTACAGAGATAAATTACTTTATATTCTCTCTTATGAATTGTCTGTATGTCTTAATGCTAACAACCTTTCATGACACAAGAAGTTCTAACCTGTAAATATCTATGAACTGAACCATTTTCACTGATGTTGAAGTATATTTTATACATCACCCACCAAAGCCCACAGCACCTCAGAGCACCCTGTGATTCACGCTGCTTGGATTCAGCTCCTTTTAACGGACTGCAGTATAGACAACATTGTAGCATGCTATGTCTTGTCTCTTTGCTTTGTAAGAAAATCCATTACTATGTACTATTTTGATACTCCCCCTATCTTGAAGGGGGCAGGGGGCGGGGAAGAGAGAGAGAGAGAGAAGGAGGGAAGAGGAACTATAATATTTCCCAACAGTATAAGACAATTTTAGTAAGGGATGAAAACTCCCATTTTCCCACAGAACAACGGAGAGTAGCTGTCTGTCTTCTATACCTACATGATCATCTTTAGATCTTTTTGTCTTGCATCAAGTATATGTGGAGGGATCAAGAGAGTGTAAATAATTTTGCTGCTGTGTTTAACTTGATAGAGTGCCTCCACAATCTATAGATGATGATGAGAGAAGCTGATACAGATCTACCACATTTAGGCAGAATCCATAGACATTAGCAGCATTTATAGGCATCTGGAATTTCTGCTTCATTAAAGTTGGCAAAATTCCAGCTTGGCTGAAAAAGAACTGTAAGACCCCAAGAAACCTACCTAGCAAACACAACTTTCAAACTCTACTCTTTGGTTGAGTGGTTGAGCAGTGGTTGAAAATGAGATTTCTATCATCAGAGTGATTTCTACCTTCAGAGCATTTTGTTTGTAAATCTTAGCCCTGACCTAAGCACACTGATTGCTATTCTGGGAATTACTAAACAGCACTGAAGTATGACTATACTTGCAGTGAGGGGCTGTCACGGAATCTGATCACATGAATACACAAATATTGGCTTCATAACGTGAGTACTCTACCGCTTGCCTTATATTCAGCAAATGTATCATACATGCAAAGTTTTGACTTCCACTGTGAATGGGACTGCCTGTTACTATTATCTGCCTTAAACCATCTGAAATCACTGTTACACCTGTAGGGAGAATTTAAGGCAAACACTTTTTCTTCCTAGATTCTGCATCTCTGGAATTTTCTGTAGCCCTAGTGCGGTATCATGAAGGATTGACACAGAACTGTGTACAAGACACCTTTCTAGACTATTTTGCTGGACACATTCCTATAAGCTCAGCCTTTTCATGGGCAAGATCTACAAGAAAACCAGCAAGAGAACACAAAATAAAAAGTAGCAAAGCTTAGATCTGTTCCACTCATCAGCTCTTTTACATAAGGCATCAAAAGCGTGATCTCTGTTCCTCACTGAAGTGAGTTCCTGGGTAAATAAAAGATGACAAAAGAGGAGTTCAAGTTAACCTAATATATTCATATTTGGCAGAATACCCTCTATCAAATGCTCTCTTTCTTAAATTCTTTATTATTTGGAACCTCAAGTGTCATCCTAATAAATATGCATACAATTTTGGGGTTTTCCTGGACACCTTGACACTTTCACTAACAGATTAAGGATGAGTCACTCATTTCTTTTCATAAGCAAAATATTGTGGCATATTCTTCTTGACATGCACAAGCTCTTAGCAGATTGTGCATCTGTGACTGCTTATTGCGACATGACAAAGAATGAAGCTGCATTGGAAAAAAAAAAAAGATATTGTTACCAAAATATGGTTTATTTTCTGAATATAGTGTGAAACAGATACTCTGGATGCATCTGAAGTGTGTGCTTAACAGAATGCAGGATCCAATTCCAAGTCACTCTTGTGAAAAACAGATTTCTCTATAGCAAAGTCTTTACCTGAATTAATCAGCCTCCTCTTGTAAAAGCAATTACACACTGGAACAGTGAAACTGTTTGCCAATCTGTTTGATTGAATGCGAGAGATTTCATTTTCAGGAGAAGAGGAATTAGACTGAAAATTCAGGACATCCTACAAAGGGCAAATCACCATGTTCAGAGGTAAATGAAAATATTACTTCTTTTACTTTAGTTTCTTCCATAGTTTTCCCAGACACAGTTACACAGAATATGCACTTACAGTTAAATGTTCATAAAGAAACTGGTATTAGCCTGTTTCTCTTTTATGACTGAGGAAAAATGTAAAGATAGCATCCCAAATATTAAGCACTTGGGAGGTACTAGCCTTTCACAATGTCTTTCTAGGTAAATAATTAAGCAGGATGGTTAGTTTTTTTCTTAACATGTTTTTTTAACTCAGGCAACCCTTGTTAATCACATTACTGCATTACTGCATTTAGTTTCATTAACAGATGTGGAATCTAAACCTCTATACCCTGGTGGATTTTGACCTGAAAATGCTTCCACCATCATTCCACAACAATTTTTTTTCAAGTTGCTGTTGTTTGCTAAGGGATTCAATATATTAAGTGACCGTAGCAGTGGGATAAACAAAGCAATACTTGAATCTCTTCTCTGAGAAATTTCTATCTGATTTGGGGATAGAATAATAGGGACAGAAAGAAAAAGAGATATAGTTTGAGAGAAGTATTTTTATCTTAATTACTTTAAAAGACTTGCCATTTCCACAGATCTTTACCAGATGATTTCTCATTTTCTCATAGTTGATTGTTTACACATATGGCGAGGAAGCCAGTCTGCTCCACTTATTTGCCACTTAATACTAATCTGGAGGTTAAATAGACAAAAGAATTGATGTAGAAAACAATTCTTACCTTTGGAGAATTCCTTCTTTGAATTGCTATATTCTAAAATATGAAAACCAAAAAAGTTTTATGTGAGCAAGTTTTATTATCACTTTTCTTCATAAGTGATGGTATATACCAAGTATATACTATAATATGTAATAAAATACTTACTTTCGGCAGTTAGCTCTCGTTGTGTTCTCCCATCATCTTGGTATTCATCTAACCATCTTTCATTGTAAAACAAAAATAATCTGATTAATAGCAATTGTCATTTATGCTACAAGAGATCTCATAGTTACCTTCACTCTCTTCAACAATTTTTTGTACACCAAAATACATCCAGAAAATTCTTCACATAACTAATTTCATTTTATACTTTCGTCATAGCATTATTCATGTTCATGGAGAATTCAGTTCACTCTATGACCAGCACAAAATAGAAATTTGCATGGAAGTTAACACCATACAAAGTCCTAAGGGACTTTTGAGGGAATGGTATAAAACCTGTGATGTTCAGTTTTTTCTACTTAAAATATCATATAACTCATGGGAGGAGTATTCCAGATCTCAGGTCTGGAGGTTTCTAGAGCTTTTATAAGTAGTCACCAATGAAGTGAATTTCCTTCTCTTTTCTTTCATACCGATGGATTAGAGTAATTTTTCTTAAAGTTCATTTAGTTACAAAAATACACTCATAGTCCTTCATTTGATCCTCCTTGCTGATATCATAACACTTTACATTCATTAAAAGTCTTCCTTATTTGTAAATAAATATGTTCTATCAGGTTCCATTCTATTCAGGTTCCAACTGATGTAGCTTTTGTTCAAACACAAGTATCCATATCCATATCCATATTCATATCCATATCCGTATCCATTTAATTACTTACATATAATAAAATTATGTGAATAACTCTCTTGTGCATGAAGACTAGATTACAATGTATTTCAACTATTGTTTTAATAAGTATTTTGATTAACTTTTGTGAACTATGTCTTCATCCCCTTTTAAGAACGAAAAGGATCACTAGCAGTTTCTAAAAATACGAACTTTGATGCACTGGCAGCACTTAATCTGTAGACAAAGAATGGCAAAACCCTGCTAGGTTTATGCATAATGCCTCTAATCTTTTTCCAAAAGCTTAATAATTTCCTTTTGAGAAGGAAGTTTTATATCAAGCTCAGACTCTTCACTAAGTAGCCCTCCCTTTTGAAAAGTCTCATAAAATCTGCATTGATTAAAAAAAAAAGTCTCATTTGTCTACTTTTCCAATGACCATCTTCAACTGCACACCAAACCAATTAAACAGCCTAATAGCCAAAAAGTAAAAATAAAACAAAAACTTGATCATCGGAGTAATAGTTTTCAGAAGAGCAAATGGTTCTTAGCTAATCACTTCCAGCAATCTTGCAAATTAAAATGCAGCTTTTTGTAACCAGAAGAGATTCCTAATGAAATAGTTATCTTCAGAGCTTCTAAGAATTTTCGTGAATGTAAGACACAATTCCCAAATTAACATGGAAAAATATATCGGCCATGTAAACTAAATTCACAAAATATGGAACTTTAGTAACTGCTAGAATAGAGATTTGGACGTTTATTTCTTTCAGTTTTGCCCATGGCAGCAAAATCCTATACTTAGTAAGATAGAGAAGTAGCTATTTTCTAAGTGAAAAGACACATTTCAGCTCTCTTTAGAAGGAGTTTTAACAATTATTTGCATCTACAATCAAAGCTCATTCCAAAGATTTCCAATATTTAAAGAGTTCTGCGCAGGGCTACAAAGATGATTAGGGGACAGGAGCTTCTCTCCTATGGGGAGAGATTGAGAAAGCTCAGGCTGTCTAGCCTAGAGAAAAGAAGGCTGAGTGGGGATCTTATCAGTTTGTACAAATATCTTAAGGGAAGGTGTCAAGGGAATGGTTCCAGACTATTTTCAGTGGTGGCCAACAACAGGACAAGAGGCAATGGGCAAACTGAAACACTTGTAGTTCTGCCTAAATTTGAAGAAAAAAAATACTGTGAGGGTGACAGAGCACTGGAACAGGCTGCCCAGAGAGGTTGCGGATTCTCCTTCTCTGCAGATATTCAGAATCCGCCTTGCTGCAATTCTGCGCAATGTGCTCTAGGTGACACTGGACATGGACTAGATCTCCAAAGGTCCACTTCAACCTCAGCCATTCTGTGATTCTGTGACTTGTGTGTAATGTCTTCAGTGCCCAGGAAAGAGAAAAAGACTGAAATCCATATAACTATATCTTGCCACATAATACTTTTTATAAGAGAGAGAAATTAAATTATATTTATTTTCATGATCTCTGTAGATACATAGATAGATAGAGAGATGGATAAAGAAAAGATCAATGTGTTTTTCCTCCTATGCAACATTCAGTTTTGGTTTTCTTTGCTTTATACTATGACTCCTTCCCATAACAACCAGGAACCTTCATTGTTTGACTTCAAGATCTAAATTTTGCATTTCACGTCCATTGAAAAATTCTGGAGGATTGCCCATATTTCTACATTGTATGCACATGCCAGTTCTGCAATGTTTTCCTTAGGCTTCTGTCAGATTAACAAAGTAACTCTCTTTCTTCGCGAATGACATACCTATTACAAGGAAATACAACCTCTTGAGCTTCCTTTCCTTCTTCATGTTTGATGACGATCTTATCCAGGAACCATCCATTGCCTGTATTGACATGTCAAAGGTTTATCATTTAAAAAAATGTATTTTTAAAATATTTTTAATTTTTTTTTCAGAAAAAAAGCAGATCCCATCAGGGCAGAACTTGCATGGATGATATAAATTAACACAGTGAAAGCTTTATCATTCTACATCTCTTGAAAGAGGTAGAGCATTCTTCCTTGCTTTGTTGCATTTTAATTCAAAAGGAAGTGGATTTTTTTTTTGCTTGGAGAGAAGTATATTCATATTTCTGTGAACTGAACATGAATGTGAACATCCATGTTCCAGCCTACATCTTTTGAGTCCTTGTGATCAGGCACAGAGGGAAAACCTGCTCGTGCTATTGAGATCTGTGTGAGAAACTGAATTCTTGGTCCTCTGAGAATTAAATTGGTATTGCATATAACAGTATCAATTAGCAGACCATTAATATCTATTGTTCTCATCTCCTTGTGTTCTGTCTTAGCTTCTGAAAATATATGCTCCAGCTTTTACAGTATATGCTTGTTTAAATACACTACGAAGTCAAAATACTGCATAAATCTGCATGAGCATTAGATTAACAAATTCTGATAAAAACAAGTTTGCTGAAAACAAACAGAAGGTGTTCTGGACATGTGATAAGCCTCTTCAGAAAGCTTTTCAAATTTGCATTTTTAAAGCCTAAGTTTCAAGGGCATGCTTTTGTTTTCCTTTGCCCTCTATAAAGAGAGGAAAGGACATTCTTTGCAAAATCTGTTTTTTAAAATATGAAGTGTAAAATTTATTGAACACTCTTTAAACCCCTTGCCCAAGAAACTGCACAAAGAATTTTCTTTTGGTCTTGCAGTGGGAACAATTTATATCTATACAGCATGGAAACCACAAAGCACCTATGCATTTTACAGGCTTCCCATTGGGCTTACTCACCTTCTACCTGCAACTTTGTGATAGACCAGAGATCCATTTTCTATCAGTAAAGTTACACAAGCAGTAACACACTTTCAGATGCTATGTGATTTGTACATATTAGCGATGTAAATAGTAAAAAACAAGACAAAATAGACATCATTTTCTCAGATTACGATTCAAGCAAAAAAAAAACTATCCATCAGCATTGTATTAAAATACATTGGTGTATGATTGCTACTGCCCTATTACATTGCCAGAATAAAATAATGTTTACGAATTTGATTTATCAGAGGGATAGATTTTCCAAAGCATAGTGGACAGGGCATTGGTCCAGACTTGGTTTGAGGACAGAACAGTACCTGCACAGTCATGGATTTCTTCCCAACCTACTTGTTTTTTTCAGATCCTTCCCAGGTACAGGAAGAAAAAAAAAATAAAGCTGACAAGCGCTTATAATTTTTAAAAATGCTTATATTGTTCACTAATAAAAGCATTTATTACTGAACATCAAATACCTATGTGACTATGTAAGCAAATTATTGCTTTCGATTCTCTCAGTCTTCCTCTACCTTCTGTGTTTTGTTACATTGAGTTCTGCATCTAGTTTTCAGTAAAGCAGTACAAGATGTCTGTATACAGAATTTGGCAATCTCTGTAGATGTTAATTGTAGTTATTTAATTAAATCTCATATTATCCCAGGGCTGTCAAAGAAGAGTTGTCATGGTCTAGATGTGAAACGCATCACCGTGAGTCAACAGCAGTAGGAATTGTACAGGATTTGCTACGGTATGGTTAGGAGTGGAACCAAAGTGGGCGGAGGGAGATATCAAGGTAGCGTGGGCAACAACAAGCATAGAGAAATGGAAGAAAAAGGAATTAAAATGATCAGGTTAATTGTGAACAGATTGTTGGTCGGTATGCTTGTGACTCCATACTGCATACACACACACGCACACACACTTATATATGTATGTATATATTTCTCCCAGACTTTCCGATCCATCAGAAAGGGGGACCGGATGAGGCAGTTGGTACTGTTTTTGTTTGTGTGTGTTGCACATTCCTGACTCTGTCTGTGTGACTGACTGTGTATAAATATATACATACATATACATATGTATACATATTATGTGTATGTTTTATATGTCTGCATGTGCATGTACCTATGGGAATACCTGCACAGCCTCACTACTGGTTGATCCTGGGGCAATAGAGCTATGGTAAATTTGCCTCTGCCACCTACTGCATTGGCCCTCTCCCTAACAGCAGTAACCACACCACATCCATCTTGCTCTCTCAGATCATTTCCAATAACCATCTTAGTGACTGTTACAGTTAACCTTCAAAGTGCTTTTCAAACATCTTGTCCTTAATGTGTGCACCACTCACAACTTGTGATATTTCTTAAGAGGTATTGCTTGAATCGTGCCATTATTTGTCAGTTCATTGTAGCAAGGCAGCATGAGGAGTGTTCTGGTCAGAGCCAAACAACTGACCTATTCATCTTTGTGTTCTGCCTCCCCAGCTGCACACAGCTCTAGAAGTCCCTAAAAGGCAGCAATCCCTGTCCCATAGCGAAGGCCTGCCTGAACAGTGCATAGAGTAAAACGGTATTTCCTTTTAAAGACTTTAGCCCCAGGGCACATGGGGATGCTCTGCAAGCTTCCTCTATGGGGATGCTCTGCAAGCTTCCTCTATCATTGGGAATACCTCAGGTGAATACTTTGGCACGAAACAATGCTCAGATGCCCTCGCCTTGTAATACTGGTCAGGCCAGTATTCATCAGCACAAAAAAGACAAAAAAAAAAAAAAAGGACAAACTCTTTTGGTGTAAATGCAAAAGGTTCCTCTAGAGGAGAATGCCGTTTCAGCAGAAAAAAACTCATCAACTAGTAACTTGCATTTGACAAGAGCCAAAAGTCTGTTGTCTTTCCTTTCTTCAGTCATTGTAGCTGTGGGAAAAGATCTACACTTGACCTAGAAATCTTCCAGTGCACCTTACACTGTTTTATGGTACATGGCCAGGTAATCTGGCAAGTCAGAACTACACATGATTCAGGTGATTCCAAGGGCATTTTCCAACCATGTATTTCCAAAGAAATTGCAAAAATTTGACCCTGACTCCTGACTGTAAACCTTATAGAGTTTTCCCTTTCTCTCCTACTGCAAAGGATGAACAGTCCCTTTATCATTCCGGGACAGTTTGCAAATCAAGACTAAAGACCTTCTGCCTCTAACATTCAGGCAACAGATAAACAGATATGATTAAAACAGAAAACATCCCCCTCTCTAAAGGAATGTACTTTCCTCCCTTGCATCCCCTCAGAAGTTTAGGTCTCTAATTGGTCTTCATCCTAGCTCACCAACTATTTCTGGTTTGCTCTATCTAGGACCACTTCTGGTCAAGTTTAATTGGAGCTGGTTTTGGAGATAGTTCAAGAGAGGCCTGCAAGATCTGTGTTGAACAAAAGGAACAATCCTGATATCCCAGCCATAAATGTTGGAACCAACCTATCTTCCTACCAACCTCTAAATAGAAACCAACCTATCTTCCTACTTAGACAACCAATAAACACTGATTTTGGAAACCCCTCTCAAAGAAACTTAGGATAGCTGAGCCTGGTGGCAGGTTTGCTCTGCGAACCATTTGATATGTCTATACTGCCTGTTAAAGGAGGCATGAGGGAGGGGAAAGAGAGCATGGTATGGCATGCTGGGGATAGAGTGAAGGTAAGCTCTACCATACTGCCTTCTGGGATATGTCTTATCATAACTAGGATGTAGAACTCTCAAGTATATGGTCATCTCTATCACTGCATATCTTAGCAAATTATAAAGCTACAAGACTCAAATTTTCACCAATGTCATCCTAATGAGGCCACTATTGCGATACTCACAGGTGTGTTCTGAGCCTTAAACAGTCAGGATATTTGGCATTACTTGAGGCTATTTCAGAACAAGGTAGAGTAAAAGTGGTTTTCTAATCCACTGTGATCATGAATTGCATTAAAAATCATTCCCTTTGTTTAACCCTTTCACAGACACTAGTCCACTATATTAGGAGCATTTACATCTTCACTGCTCTTAAAAATTATTTACTTTCTTCTAGAGATGCACTGCTAAGTCTTTTGCAACAAATTCTTCTCATTTATCTTTTTTTCATCTCTATCTTTTTTAATGAAAATCCTGCAATCTGAATGCAACACTGTAGCAGCTACACTTGACTAATACAGATGAAATAATCAAGTCTTATTCCATTCTCCAAAGCAGCAAAGATAGCACTTTTTATTTATTCCAACCCTGTTTTGTAATACTGAAATATCTTTAATCGCACTGAATATCTTTAACTCTGTGGTATCCTTATCTTCACTCGTCTGTCTAATGGAAGATCATTTTACCTTTGTCAGTACCATAGAGGTACTGAACCACAGAGTTCATGATTTTTTCCTAAAATGCTGTCTGCATAAATAGTGCTCTACTACAAACAAAATTGAAAACAAAGAATGAAATTATATTATTTGACACCAAATTCATGCCTTCTTTGCTGACCATAGCCACTGTATTCTATCATAGTGACTAGTCCACAGGAAGGCTTCTTACCACAGCAAGACCTTCTGTCACATTTTTAAGAACGATGCAACATAAATAAAGTGTACTGTGTTTAAAAATGACTTGACTTGAAAGCAGATTAGTTGCTAGGAATTTAAATCCTACCTGGACCAGTTCCATCATGGCTAATCAGAACTTTCTCCAGGTCTCCCAGTGAGACAGCCTTTATGAAGAAAATATCCATCTGTAGAACCATACAAGGAAAATTATAAAAATCTGGAATCTAAATATATTAACTAGAGCTACATTAACTATAAACACATGGAAGAGTTACTCTTTTTCTTTGTTTTTGCAAAATGAATATTGGTGTTGTACGTAGGTCCTGGCCTAACAGTAAGGATCCTTTGAATCCTTCCAAAATGAATACCGTCTTTATATTACTCTAAACAGACAACACTGAATTCTTTCAGCATGAAACAAGGCTCTGTTGCAAATTGATTTGGCCCTCTCTATATTACATCTTCCTTCTAGTCCTATCTATCTGCCTTGTTTCTCATACCCAGATTAGAAAACATGATCAAGGACAAGCAGTTAGTGCTTGATTCTGAGATTCACAGTAGCGTGCTCAGGATAGGAAAAATTATTGCATTGCCATTTTGCCTATATGTCTAATACAAATAATCAACAGTACTAAAATTCCAATATCTAATGCTCCCAATAAACAATTCATTTAAAACCAATAGATAGAAATTATTCACAAAATGAATTGTGTAAGTAATTTTGAATACAAAATGTATGTGACAAAACTGAAAACTTTTTGAATAAATTTGTAAATAAAAAGGTATTTGTTTGTTGAAGAAGTTTTTTGCTAGCTATAATTCAATTTCTCTGACAAGACGCAGTACTGCTTTTACTTCACCTGTCCATGTAGAAATTTTACATTATTATTCTTAGATCTATGGAGCTTCCTCTTGCCAGTATCTCCTCTTGTTCCAATAAGATTGATATAAACATTCGAATCTGTTTCAGCACCGGGTTTAAAGCCTGTGTATACGTGGATCTCATACACCACCACTAGAAGAAGAAAAATGTTGAGATTACCCTTATTGCTTTTATGTGATTCAAAAGCTTTTTTTTCATCAAAATTTGGCCAGGAGGCACTGCCCTTCAGGTTTGGAAATAGCAACACTATCCGTGCTTTTGCCACTTCCAGATTGAAATCTTATAATTCTCTACACACAAATATGAATACAATAACTTTAAAAAGCAGCAATTATGCTCAGCATAGTAGCCCATCTGCTCAGAAAAATGGTCTATCAAGCAAGTTTTCCCTAGTGCTCTATTTTATTCCCTGACTCCCCGTTGAGTATTTATGGCTTCAGGACCTAATTTGCAAAATCTCTCCTGGCAAGTTATCTGGAGATCTTCTAACTGTGCCTAGTCATGGTTTCAGACGATGCTTATATTTCACTGGTTCCAAAGAACTGTAAAACACTGTATTTGTGCAAAAGAGATTTTTTGGGGGGTGACTACTCTTCATTTTATCTTAAAAATGGAGTAATAATTATGAAATGTGATTTCACATCATATACAATGGTGGTCAAGTAGATGAATGGATTCCCTCAATCTATAAAATGATCATCTGGACACTGGACATGTTTTCTGAAGGCTTCGACTTCTAGTAGACATATATGCCTTTAATAACAGCTCTCAATTAAAATATATTTATGATCTTTTAAATATCTTTCCTTTTAGTCTACAAAGAAACTCACAAAATATATATTTATCTTCAAAATATTCTGGAATACAATTCAGGGTTACTGTATTAATACATTTTGAACCACACTAATGTTATCATTGTAATTTACCAGATATGAAAATGTATTTTGAAATGATTATTTCTAGTAATCACATCCTATTGTATTTCATTGCACAGTTTTCCTACTTATTAAGATCATATAAAGTATTTTTCCTGTTTAGACCTTAGTGGGAATTTTTCCATGCAGTGTCTTTATTATAAATATAGCTGTTCATTTCTTCTGCTACCCACTAGATGATAAAGAAGATTATTGTTCCACTAATGGAGATCACTAACAGCTTTTTGGAGTGAAGAAAAGCCACAGAAGCTCCAAGGAACATAGTTAAATACAGTCTTTGAGAAGGAACTAAGTTGAAAACAAAAAATTGTAGCAAAAATTTTGATACCAGACAACAGTCTACAAATTTTAATTAAAATACTATTACTACCAAATTACAAGTAGCTTGTAGAATCTGACATTTTTCTCTGTATATATGTATACATTTATTCACAGAATCTCAAAGCAACTTATAAAGCTCAAACATTATGTCATCTATCACTAAAGAATAACTATTTCTGGTGTCCTATATCTGATGTTGATTGGAGATGATATACAGGTGGTAAAATATTACCACAAGCACTTTAAACACATGTGTTTGAAGGTAGGAAGGAAATGTTGATGGATAGGCTCTATTCTTTACCATATTAAAATACCTTTTTAATTCATATATAATTGTCCTAAATTGTCAAGAACAGATTTCCAACTCTTTATCACTACTCTAAATCTGACTTTAAAGAAAGGTGGCAGTTCCTGATCACCGTAGAATTTACTAAATCTCCAACCATTTGATGCAGCTCTAACACCCATTAGAACCTGTGAAATATAATTAATCTCAATAATACACATGCACATACACTGAAAATATTCAAAGTCTTAGAAAAATTAGCTTCAATGTTACTAACAGAAAAACTTGTTAAAATGCATAGTAGATATGAATGGCAAGTGACAAAGAGAAATTAATCTTCATAATCATATGTCATATATCCAAATGACTTTTCATGTCATAACTCTTCATATACTCATACCATATGTAGATCAGCGACTAGAGAATGCAAGAAGAAGACACCCCTTAAAGGAGGAAAGATAATGGGTGAATAGAAAAGTAAGAAAGGAAACATATGCAATGACGCAAAGAGCCACATTAATCTCAGATGGAGTAAAATGCTTCAGGATGTGCTGAAGGTAAGAGGTCACATTTCCAAAAGGAAACCTAAAGATCTTTATAGAGATGCCTGCCATCTCTATAAAATGGCCAGACTGCCTGTGGAGAAAGCACAGCTTCTCAGTAAAAGCAGGGATATATCACACACTAAGTCTGCTCCACACTTCTATTTTCACTTACGCTTCCAATTTTGAAAAAAGCAAAACTTCAGTCAGAGCCCAAGAAAGGATGTAGACTGTTTATGGACATAAGACTGGTATCTGCATTACTTAAATCCACAGATAATTTCCATGATCAAGACTGCAAAATTTAACTAACTGTAAGTGCAATTTTAAAGTCTAGCTCAGACGTTTTTAAGAAGCCCTTTAATAAATGATTGCAAAAAGAGAATATCAAGAAATTATTTCATTGCTGGAGGGATCAAGCCAAATAGATTATGTGCAAGATGCACCAGAACAGAGTAGAAGAAAAATATAACACTACAAAAGCATATTAACAGATAAATAAATTACAATTGTTTTTGTAATGCTGTGCATCTCTGTGGTAACCAAAGTGATGATAATGGTCTAAATCTTCCTATTGTTACAAGCCTAAATAATTCAGTCTGAAGCAGAAAAATGTACATGTATCTATACCTCTCTCACCATCTGGAGAATGTTAGACCTTACATTTATTTAAACTACACACAATGTGTATTATTTAAAAAGGGATGGTCTAAAGAAAAGGACCAATTTGTATTTCTTCTTTTTTTGTTGTTGTTGTACACATTATCACACACACTCTGTGAATTAGATGGTTATATGGTTATACTGAGATAGTAAATGGAATGTTCATTTTCCTTAGCCTTTATATATGTTAAGTTAACATATGTTAACTTACGTTAAGTTATATAAGTTAAGCAGGAAAATATACTCCAAACCACTCTGTATATGTGTATTTAGGACATGCCATTGTGACGAAATGCTTGGACGTTCTTATTAACATCCATTAAACAGATTTTGTATATTAAGCCTTTTCTATGCAAATGGACAGACTAACATGAGTGTATCCAATTTTGTCAAACTTTTTCAAGCAGTTTCTTTAGGTTGATGAACAACTATAAAAGATGCTTGTGTTACTGGCTCCTGAGCTATGACTTGCTTAAATTACAAGGACAGGAGGATGCACGACACCCTGTAGCAGACAGGACAAGTTATCCCAGTAGTTAGATAAGCACAGGAGACAGATGCAACCAAGTCTGGAAGATGAAGCCAGCTAAATGCACAGCTGAGGTAGCAAGAGTCGTCATAAAAGAAATTTGCCTGATTGTAGCTTTGCAGCTTCTTGTTCATGGAAAAAAGAAAAAAAGTGAGTATCCAGCAAAACAAAAAGACACTAGAAAGTAACTTCCATCTCTGTGTCTCTTGTTTTGTTTCCTTTGAGAAACAAATCTGTTTTAAAGTCCGCAATGCCTATGTCTGCAATGGCAATGTTTCACTGCAATAAGGAAAAACAATCATAAAACTTTGAGAATTAGATCCCAATGGTCTAATCCTCCAGGTTGCAGTGGTAATTTCATTTTACTATACTGATTTAGTGACAATACACTAGCTGACAACTGGGGTGACAAAGAAGAGAAGTAGGCCCATAGTTTAAGAAAAAAAATGAAAGGGAATATTGGAAAATATATTATAAAACCAAACACTGAGCAGAAGTCAGGAATTTTTTTTTTCAACATTCTGAGAGGGACTTGTTAGATCTAGTCAAGGCTGCTCTATCTAATGTCAGGCTCATCAAAGTAATTGAAGAAAGGTCTTGAAAAAGGCAATAACTGCGATAAAGGATATAAAAAGATTAATTAATAGAGAATGTCTGGGGAAAGAATTCAGCTATAGCGCTCACTAGAAAAGAAAATGACCTTTTGGAAAATAAATGATTGAAATCTTCAAGTTGCTAAAAGGGAAACTTTAGATAAGCTCTATAATCAAATAGAAGACTCTGGAATTGAGTACGTAGATCAAACAGTTGGAACAAAGGAGGTAAAATGTTCTCAGGTAAAGGTGGGAGGATACTAAAAGGCCCTTGAAATACAATCATTAAAGTAATGTAATAATTAAGCTACAATATGGCATAGGTGCCTAATATCAGATATATTATATGTTTCATTGAGTAGAATCTGCTATACAAGCACCAAATTTGGACTTTCTCAGTCCACAAAAACTTACTACTGCTAACTCTTAAGATTTTATCTTCTCTGTTTCATGACTTAGAATATTTGATGCTGTTTTTAAGCCCCATTCCCAGCTTCTGGTATCTATTGGTAGCATGAGTACATGAGCTATTTAAAAAAAATGAGAGAGAAAAAAAATGTGCTTGTTGCTTATGAAGAAACCTAAGGGCACCTAATGGCCTAATATGTAAATAAAGAACCTTTTCTTTTCTTTTTTTTTCTGGATTCATTTTCATGGGAACGTGAGTCAGGGTTTCCAAAACAGAGCGTTTGATATATTCCTGTTCACTGGTCAACTGGTCAAGAGTTATTTTGGCTCTGATCTGCGAGCAAAGCATATGTCCTTCTGAGGAGGAACACACAGACTTCAATGACCTATGGCACTTTCCTTTGGAAAACATAAACACTGAGCAAGCACTGCAGGCTAGATGTAAGCCCAAGGTGATATGTTTGGGGAGAAGAATAAAATAATCCTAACAGTATTAAAGAATTTATCACAGAGAATAAGAAAAAGACATTTTATTTTTGCTGACTTAGTATAAATTATTGTCCCAGTGTTAGTTTTTTCAAAGTCCACTGAAGGGTAACGTAATCATTATTTTCGAATTTTAGTTAAGAGGAGGTATATGCAAGAGAAATATAACTTTAGACAGGATACCATATAATTGTCAGCTTCTTGAAGTGGCTACACAAACAGACAGAAAAAATAGGGAAAATTGACAAGGCGATATGTTTGGATAGAAAAGAAGGGATTTCAGAGAGGATGTTAAATACAAATGTTATAATCAGGAAATCACTTAAGATTTGAAGAAGAGAATTAAACCAGAAAAGAGAAAGAAGGTAAGGAACCAAAAAATGCCTCCAAGGTGTCAGGGTTTTTTGGAGGTGTATAGTTTTTGGATGCAGAAAGGGAAAAGCAGGATAAGGGAAAAGTTACTCTTTCTTCTGAGGGAGAATTAGGGTTATATATTGTCAAAGAACAGCAGTAAAAAAAAAAAAAAACAAGGCATCCTGAGTTTATCTTATATTTGTTCATTTTGTTTAAAGTTTCTGCAAATCACTTTTATAATTGAATGCCTCTAGAAGATACTAGATTGAATTGAAAGTACAGCAGACAAATTAACAAGTCATTTCTGATTGTCATTAAGTAATAAGTAATACATCATTTGTTCTGCTGGAGAAACTGATGTGGTTTGTCCAGTACATACAGCAATTACTCTTTACAAGCGAAATGCAAATGGATAATGTTTCATTTGCTTGTTCATGAGAAGCTAAATGGGAAAGCCTTGGGAGGTCTTGCACAGTTTTTAATGATTTTCTATTTAAATTAGCCTAAAATCAATATTTAATTTGTAGCAATAAGGTTACAATTTCAGAAAATTCCCAAATCCATTATAATGTATATTTTCTTAAAACATCGAGAAGTATATTTTAAAAAAGATAATGCCCCTTCCAAAGCAAAGAAAGATACAGTAGATGCACCATAAAAAAAAACTAAATAAATATGCTATTTTTCAAATATTCTCAGGCTTTGATATCACTTACTTGATTTTTTACTGCATTTTACCTTGCTCCATTATTTGCAACCAAGCAAATGGAGTGTACCTATGAGAATATTAGTACTTTTCTATGAAAGGTATTTCTGACTATATAATGCTGATTTGAGTTCTGTATGATGAATTAATTGCTGAGACAACTTAATTGGCTTCTGCGCTATTTTTCTGTTGCACAGATATGTGATATTTATGCCACTGGACGAACTCAGTGGTGGTACTATGGCATATGTTAATCATAGGGTCTGATTTTCCCTGATTAAATTCACTAAATGTTCTATGGAATAAGAAAAAGAATGCAGAGGAGGGAAGTGGACTGGCACATATGTGTTTCTAAGTATTTTATGGCCTTTGTAACAGTGGAAGTCACTCGTCCTTTCCAGCCTTAAAACCCGTACAAAAACATCTCATTAGCAGTATTGATGACTCATTGAGAAAATTATATTATCTTGAAGTTTTTCACTTGTTTGTTCTTTTCTTGTGAAATGATTTGGTTGTTACTAAGTGCATGATGTCCCTTTTGTATGTTGAATTGTTCCTGCAATACTCACTACGTTCTATTCAATACAGTTTGCCTGAATGATAGCACAGATAAGATCTGCCACTACCAGACAGTATCTACCAGCTGCATCATTGCTGTCCTGTTAATATCAAGAGAATTCTGTAAAAAAAACCCTATTGTGTTAAATGTGCTAAAAGATTATGTGGTCTCCAGGTTCCTTTGTAGAAGCCCAGGGCTTTTAAAAGAATTACTTGTTATGGCCTATTTCTTGCTTTACTTGAAGAGCACAGACTGCCATCATCAAGCTTTTGAGGTCTCAATAGTGCCACTCTGTATTTAGCTGTTTCCATGTTTATAGCTGTGATTCAAGTCTGATTTAGAAAACATGTGTGTAAGCTTGTTATAAAGAACTGCTTGTCACTTGACATACCTTGATATCACAGCTTCCTGCTACATGTGTACAGGCTACTTGCTCTAAAATATTTGCCAATGATTTAGGGTTATTTTCAGAGTTAGAGGGGAAGGATAGCTTGGTCACAGCTATGGGCGTTGTAGGGAAGAAAGGAACGTAGTAAAATGAACACTTCCCATTTCTGTGGAAGTAGAAAGCTGCTTGTAGTGGAAGGGATGGTTTATGTTTCTGCTGGTTTCTGGGAAGTTCTTATCTGGAAGAAGCATGAAAAGCTGTCATATGCTCACAGGACATGACTAGTGACTATGTGATCTAAAATACTCAGCACATACATGGCAAAAGCTCCTTTGTGGGATTTTTAATTGCCACTTCTCTCCACGTGTCCCCATCATCCTTGTCTTCAGCAAGCCAACTCTCTACGGGGAGACAAATCTCCTGATCAGAAAGAGGGACTACTCTTTGAAGTCTGACTTCCTCCAGGTACCATCCAGGATCATCTCCAGTGTTGTCATGGCCAATGCGAATTTTATATAGCTGCCCAAGATCCCTAAGATTAATCTGCAATGAAAAAAAAAAAGGTTTAATAATTTCTAACGTAATATTTCAGCAATCTCCTTTCACCATGTGTGCAAGCTAAGCATGTAACTACATGCAATCAAGAGTTCTGCTCTTAAGAAAATGAAGCTTTAATATACAACAAATTCCAGAGCAATCATACTGAGGCATATGAAACAGTCTGCAAGAATAATTTAATTGACTTCAGTATTGTGTCATCCAAAATGGTTAAAGGGCTCAAACAATTCAGTTTGGTTTTAGCTCTCTTGACAGAATCCAGACTGTAGAGCAGTGGTGTAAACCAGTATTTCTGTACAAATACTTTAACAAACAGAAGTTTTTTCAGTTAGAGCCGCATGAAGCAATATATTTTGCAGCCTATACAGTTACCATCAGCAGCACTCCATTAACTATTCCTGCCACTTATCAGTCTGCTGCGGCCCACTTTTCTCTTTGTCTTCTATTTCTATGTGCATTAGTGTCAGGGTTAACTGTTTCTGAAGTGCTGACGCCACACTGCAGCAAATTTAAACAATAAAACATGACTATATCACTTCGAATACTGCAGCCCTGAAAGAAGAACCACTTCATTTCAGTCTGCAGAAGTTTCCTGAGCAATGCTGATGACAGGAACCTAAACATAAAAGTGAGGTTAACTACTTTCTACACTCTCATGTTCAGTAATGGGTTTGATGGCTCATGGTACAGAGGAAAAATCATAGTGAATAAAAGAACAAAAACAGTTGATCATCTTATACCATTATACCAATTTACTACTGCTTATCATCAAAAACAAAAAACAAACAAACAAACAAACAACAGCAACAAAAAAGAAGGAAACAGAGCCATAATGATGAAAAAAAAATTAACTAAAATTTGTATTTGCTCTGGAAAGTAATATTAATAAATCTGAACAGTAAGAGCTTTCCCCTCACTGTTTTTTGCAAGTGCAAATTTGCACTGGGAAATTTTCACATAAAATTAATGTTCTTTTTCTCTGTAGGACAGTTCTGTGGGGTGGCTAGTAAAATAGTTTTTTCTTATGTATGAGGACAACAGTTATGTCTGATTATATGCTAAAAAGTGAAGACATATCTTCTTAATTATATTAATCGCATATAGGGTATGCTAAAGTTCTTGTTCAGGAGGAAATCTAAAATGGCAGATATATTTCTAAGTTGATCAACAAAGAGTTTCAGTGCTGTAGCTGATGTTTGGTAGAGCACTGGTACATTGGAAAGAACAGCACACAAAAATAAACAGATATGGCATAAATGATCAAGGAATGAAAACATGAAGAAACAATTTGAAATAGCAGAAGAAAATGATGAAACACATTCATCACAATGCTGGGTCTTCCTGTTACTGGATAAGGAACATAGCAATCATTCAAACTTGATTAAAAAGTTTCAGGAAAAATCAGTGCAGAATAGATGATCTGTCCAGGCTGTTAAGTTTCTCTGGAAGATATTCCTAGTTGCAAACAGTTCAGTTAGATTCTGTGAAGTTCAGGTTAACATCTCACAAATTTCCCGTGTTTGTGTCTTTTCTATGTCCTCTATCCCTCCATAATACTTACACTCTAACAGAGGCAACAATATGAACAAATTAAAAGTTATGCTCGTGTGTTAACTGCCTATTTCTCCAAAGTGTCAAGTCATATGTACTTGACTAGCAGGGATGAAGAGTAGAAGGCATCATTTCATGCTATATTCACAAATTACTAGATTTTGTGAACATAACTTATGCAGGAGATAGGGCAGTTAAAGACCATGGTATATTTGTGAGTCTGAAAGTCCCTTTAAAAAATTCTGAAAAACACTACTGAACTAAAAAACATGCTTAATAATGATTCCTGACAAATGCTTTAAGGAATTTTTCATGCCAAAAAATCATGTCCATCTTTGGTAGAAATTAAGGCAATGTATCAATGATGTCAATGGCAAAGAGCAAATCAGTTGTACGTGATCTTTTAGAAGACATATAAGAGCATTGCAGATTTAGTTTCAGCTCCTGTTGTATATTTGGAAGTTGAAACAATTTATCTTGCTGTCATATCAGATATCACATTGATCTGTGAGTGGTATTGACTTACTAACATGGTACTTTTTGCCAATTGGCATCCTGTCAAATGTATGTCATATTTTGCTCTTGCAGTGAAATGCAAATGAAAATCTTCTCACAACAATATTCTTCTGCCAGGATAAGCACTATATCTTGAGGTTGCTCCTTCATTTCCAGTATTGACTACATCATCTTGAACTTCTGCATGACTTGGACAAAAACTGGCATTTATAAATCTACTTTTGTGCCCAGAACATTCTGCAAACTGTTGCAGAGCAAACTTGACTTTGTTGCTCTAGTAAACAAGCTGCTTAGAAAAAAACTTAGCTATTTTCTATTATGGCACCATGGCTGCAAAAGTAATATTCAGTTTTATATGGAACTAACCTTTCTGACAGAAATGTGATAAATGACAATGCAGAGAAGAAAGGAAGGGTCCCATGACTAAAGCACAAGTCTGGAAATTAGGCTACTATGTTCTATTCCTAGCCTAGCTTCAGGTATCCCGAGAAACATCACACCAGCCCTCTGTGCTTTACTTTTTTAATTTTACAAGGACAACACTTACCCATCTCTCACAGGGACACTGCAAAGCTTTGTTCATAAACTTCAAGATTTTCAGAGAGAAGACAAAAGTCAAAAATCTGTTCTTTTATTTTTCTAAAATATTCTGTCTGTTTCAAGGTACATTGTGATTCCCCATCCCTTGATTGGCAGGCTGAAAATAATGGATCATAATTCTCTCAGCTAACAGCAATGTTAGTGCTTTTGCTCAGGGATAATGTGATGTCACTTACAGCTGTCTACTATCTCTTTGATATGGCTATGCAATTTCTGTTGACACTAGTGGAAGTTATACAGGCACAAGAAGGGAAGAATAGCAACAGTTTGCTCAGCAAGTATGTTGTTAATCTATCAAAGAACAGAGACAATAAAGACATTCCTCCTCTACATTGTAATCAGATGTTGCAAGGTCCTCAAACTTCTCAAATATCAAGGAAGCACAGAGATGGAATAATTATTTATTCAGGATATGTCTGTGGCCCTAAACAAACTTGCTAGAGTCCTAGCAACATTACACCTGAGTTAGCACAACAGTCTTTTAGACTAATCAATCCTGCTTCTCAAGGCATACTTGTTCTGGTGAGCACTGAAGTGTTGCGGCAAAACTAGCAGCTTGAGCTTAATCTTTGCCAATCTCCAGGAAAAAAAAAAAAAAAAGAGCTGGCAAAATCATCAGACGGCAAGAATTTCTCATACAAAGCATAAGGTCAAAGTACCATTGAGCGTTCAAAGGTCAACTTATAAAAATACAAAAATTTGTTTTAAACTGCGCCACCCCCCCCCCCTCCGAACTTCTTCTGCTTGCATACAGTAGAATTTGTATCTGGCTATAAAATAATGGTTATCATACAATTTAAATGTTAACGTTTCTGGAGAAAGAATTTGTGATTCTGATGTGGCTTATGCCAGCCATGCATAGGTCATAAACAAGATCTAAACTCCTGTGGAGTTAACGAACAAGGGTGTAGAAACACAGATATCTCATTTAGGTAATGGGATCTAGAAATCAAACCTGTCAGATATGCTGATCTTCTTCGGGCTTGCCTATTAGAGCATATTCTGACAAGCACTAACTTCCTGCTCTTCATAGCATAAAGTTTTACACAATACTTAAATCACCATTTAGAGTTCATCTGTCAGTTGACTCTGAAACCCTGTCTTATGTGTTAGCTTTCTGGCTTGAATTGTGTCATATTCTGCGAGAGAGTTTCAAAAGGATGGGCAGTTTGACCTTATACAGACCTTACTTATGTGAGATAGTCTGTCAACACTTATTAGCCTTAATTATATCATTGTGATACAATGACAGTAGGAATTCCATTTTTTCATCATTTTTCTTTGCCACTACAAGCAATAAATACGTATCAGTATGAACGCTCATAACATTTTATAGTATTGGTATCAATACATATTATATAAAGAATGGGCACCATTTCAAAAGGTGAATATCAATATTTGCATTACAATTTAATCAAATTTAGCCTGCTGAATCCAGATTTATTAGCAAGAAATTCATCTTGAATAGGATACAAGGACTAAATTTTAAATTTGTTTGTAAATAAGCTAGGCAAATACTTTTTCCAGTCCCTAGCACAAATATGATATTTTCAGTGAAGTCAATATGACATATTTTCATGTACTTGAGATGTTTAAGTGAAAAGTGAAGAGAGAGCTCTTTAGTTTAACAAGACTGTTTAGTGGAAAAATATATCAGTAAAAGGACAGATAGGCAATATATATAATGACTCCACTTCTCTTTTATGTAGCAGAGGAAGGAAGATACAGATGCTTTTCTGTTGTACAGAAAGTACCCTGCAATTTCTTTGAAATAAACTCAGGCTAGTATGAAAATCATTTGGATACATCAGGAGTAACTACACTGAAAACTACTCTTCAGGAGCAGCTATACTGAAATCCCAGGGTCTAAGGCAACTGCCAGAGGCTATGCTTAACAGATAGTTATGAATTTTATGTAAGGCAATCTCATCAACAGAATTTCAGAAAAGTCATGTGCTGCAGTAGATTTCCCAACAGTAACAAAATCATGGACTACATTAGTTCAATGTCTGACATCATATGAAGAGACTAGATAAATCTTTGGAAGCAGAAGATATTTCTACATTTTAGCACACAGCTGGCAAACACTGCCAAAAATATCATACCTAATGTACCAGCAAAGCACCCAGGGTCCACCCATGATGCTTGTATTTTCCAGATGTCTGAACTTAGCCAGTTCTTGAATTGCGGCCAGTGAACTTGGCACAGTTACCCCTTAACTCATGTTGCAGGAATTCCCATCAAAACTTAACAGTCTCTTGAAATACAAGGATATGGTCATGTTAAGAAGTAAATTTAACAAAAAAAAAAATCGACATTTTTCCACCTTCATACTCTTTGTCAAAAAAATAATCTGGATATATAAATAGTGCACATTGTACAGTGACACTTAAACACTTTCTTTTCCAGTTCACCTGACTTCCTTTTATCTTACAGATGTTTCAATAGCCCTACTCACTTTACCTTCCCACATTATAACAACAAACTAATATTTATTAAAATGGATGTAAAATACCAAAATACAGTTACCAGTTTACTTAGGAAAAGGAAATGTCACACTGCTATATGATAACTAAGAATACCAGCGTACAGCTTGTTTTTTCCACCAATAATAGAAAAAAATAACAATAATAATGCTAAAGTTCTGGAAGGAATTAAAAACACCGTCTACCCCAGGATTTTAACCAGAATACAAACCAGCCTAGGTTGTAATAAAGCTCAGCAAAGGCCAAGCCATGTAAAAAAAAAATAAGCTCTGCTTAGCCTTCACCACATGTATGTACATCAGACTAACAGAATGATTCTGTGTTAGGACACGAACAACTTACACATGAAGAACTGATGCATTGTAAGAAAGATTATGTTGCTGCACATGGAGTAACACTTCAAAGTGTTATTATGTGTCTAAATGAGGATTCATTTAAGAAAAGGTACATACGAGGTGGTCATCTCTGTTCATAACCTAGGATCAGGATTAGATTGCTGATCCACTCTCCATTTGATGAGGTGATTCTGTAACAACTTGGCAAGTCACAGAGACCCAGTGGCCTCTGGCCTCTGTCATTTTTGTGGTTATCCAGCTGTATTTATCATTCAGACATGAGTGATAAATATGCACTGAAAAGAAAAAAAAGAAAAAGGAAAAGGAAAAGGAAAAGGAAAAGAAAAAGGAAAAGAAAAAGGAAAAGAAAAAGAAAAAGAAAAAGAGAAAGAGAAAGAAAAAGAAAAAGAAAAAGAAAAAGAAAAAGAAAAAGAAAAAGAAAAAGAAAAAGAAAAAGAAAAAGGAAAAGGAAAAGGAAAAGAAAAAGAAAAAGAAAAAGAAAAAGAAAAAGAAAAAGAAAAAGAAAAAGAAAAAGAAAAAGAAAAAGAAAAAGAAAAAGAAAAAGAAAAAGAAAAAGAAAAAGAAAAAGAAAAAGAAAAAGAAAAAGAAAAAGAAAAAGAAAAAGAAAAAGAAAAAGAAAAAGAAAAAGAAAAAGAAAAAGAAAAAGAAAAAGAAAAAGAAAAAGAAAAAGAAAAAGAAAAAGAAAAAGAAAAAGAAAAAGAAAAAGAAAAAGAAAAAGAAAAAGAAAAAGAAAAAGAAAAAGAAAAAGAAAAAGAAAAAGAAAAAGAAAAAGAAAAAGAAAAAGAAAAAGAAAAAGAAAAAGAAAAAGAAAAAGAAAAAGAAAAAGAAAAAGAAAAAGAAAAAGAAAAAGAAAAAGAAAAAGAAAAAGAAAAAGAAAAAGAAAAAGAAAAAGAAAAAGAAAAAGAAAAAGAAAAAGAAAAAGAAAAAGAAAAAGAAAAAGAAAAAGAAAAAGAAAAAGAAAAAGAAAAAGAAAAAGAAAAAGAAAAAGAAAAAGAAAAAGAAAAAGAAAAAGAAAAAGAAAAAGAAAAAGAAAAAGAAAAAGAAAAAGAAAAAGAAAAAGAAAAAGAAAAAGAAAAAGAAAAAGAAAAAGAAAAAGAAAAAGAAAAAGAAAAAGAAAAAGAAAAAGAAAAAGAAAAAGAAAAAGAAAAAGAAAAAGAAAAAGAAAAAGAAAAAGAAAAAGAAAAAGAAAAAGAAAAAGAAAAAGAAAAAGAAAAAGAAAAAGAAAAAGAAAAAGAAAAAGAAAAAGAAAAAGAAAAAGAAAAAGAAAAAGAAAAAGAAAAAGAAAAAGAAAAAGAAAAAGAAAAAGAAAAAGAAAAAGAAAAAGAAAAAGAAAAAGAAAAAGAAAAAGAAAAAGAAAAAGAAAAAGAAAAAGAAAAAGAAAAAGAAAAAGAAAAAGAAAAAGAAAAAGAAAAAGAAAAAGAAAAAGAAAAAGAAAAAGAAAAAGAAAAAGAAAAAGAAAAAGAAAAAGAAAAAGAAAAAGAAAAAGAAAAAGAAAAAGAAAAAGAAAAAGAAAAAGAAAAAGAAAAAGAAAAAGAAAAAGAAAAAGAAAAAGAAAAAGAAAAAGAAAAAGAAAAAGAAAAAGAAAAAGAAAAAGAAAAAGAAAAAGAAAAAGAAAAAGAAAAAGAAAAAGAAAAAGAAAAAGAAAAAGAAAAAGAAAAAGAAAAAGAAAAAGAAAAAGAAAAAGAAAAAGAAAAAGAAAAAGAAAAAGAAAAAGAAATGTATATTATTTCCACAGGGCCATGTAATTACAGAATGGCTGAGTTTGGAAGGGACCTATGGAGATCAGCTAGTCCAACCCCTCTGCGCAGGCAGCTAGACCATATTGCCCAGGACCCTGCTCAGATGGCTTGGGAGTATCTCTGATGAACGGAGGCTCTACAAACTCACTGGGCAACCTGTTCTGGTGATAAGTCACCCTCACAGTAAAAAAGGTTTCCTTACATTCAGATAGAGCTTCCTGTGTTTCAATTTGTGCCCACTGCTTCTTGTTCTGTCACTTGGCACCACTGAAATGAGTCTGGGCCCATCCTCTTTACACTCTCCCCCCTCTTCTGCACATTCCCGCCTCAGCCTTCTCTTCTGCAGGCTAAACAATCCTGAACAATCCCAGCTATTTCAGAATATTCTCATATGAAAGATGCTTCAGTCTCTCACTGAATAGCCCTTCAGTGGACTTAATCCACTAGTTCCATGTCTATCTTACCCTGGGAGCCCAGAACCGGACACAGTGCTCCAAGTATGGCTCCACCAGATCTGAGTAGAGCAGAAGGATCACCTCCTTTGACCTGTTGGCAATGCTAAATATCAGTACTCTTTGGGTTTGGTAGCCCAAACAATAGGTAGCCAATAGACTGATTTTAAGAGCAAGACTAGAGAAAACAAGCCACACATATTAGCCACACTACTTGATTCTGAAAAATTCTCATATACTGAGGTGATGGAAGGCATAAGAATGTGAATAGGCTAGAAAATGGCTGAGGAGAAAGCAGGCAAGAGCTCATAAGTGAAGATATAAAATGCATTTGAGTCCACAGTATGGACAGATAGCAGAGATAAAAATGTAGTCTTAATAAAGGACACCAAAGTCAGAAAAAATCAAAAAAAAAAAAAATCCCAAAGCCTATCAAGGTGGACTAAACAGACCGCATACCTGGATGCGAGGAGAGACCCAAGAGAGATATAGGTTTTTTTGTTGTTTTTGTTTTTAATGTTTCCATTTTGGACTTCTGTTGTCATCAAGTAGAAAAAGTTTTTACAGAAAAACAGCTGAAAAAATATACCTGAAATTGAGTAAAGGGACCTAAAATTCTCACAAGGTCTCCCTACCTTACGAGGGAAAAATGGAAGTATATAGTACTCCAGGCTGAAAAATTACAGAACAAGTAGTATCATGCCCATTCACACTCATTTCTTGAAGATAAGTTAATTTGCTTTTTCCTTCAAGGTTGGCGATGAACTTAAGGTCCTTTTACATGTTTTTATTGAAATTGGCTAAATTTTGCTTCATGCACAGCCTATAATTGATGGAGACAGTTTTACATACTACTGCTATTTATCTCAGTAAGGAATGAGGTTCATGTGGTTATTGAATATACTTAGTAGAGAGATGGTAGAGAGATGGATAGTTTCAAGTAGAGTTAAAGTCAGTGTGATGGCCATTTTAGGCTGCCTTAAGCATATCTGTCGAAAAGCCTGGGTTGCTCAAAGTTTTGTCCAACTGTTTTTGGACATAAAAGGCTATAAAAAAGCCATTTTGGTGCTTGTGGTCACTTTTGTAACCTCACTTTGCAAGAAAATCTCACTGAGCTCATTAAAGGCTTTTATTTTGACAACTAGAGGAAAGACATGAAAATGGCTTTGTTTCAACCTATTTTTAGAATGCCATTTTTCCCCCATTGCTTCTCGTTTTATTTTAGACATTTCATTTTTGATTGAGGAAACAATGAATATGGATGCAGAGTACAAGAATGAAAGACGTGCAGTGAAAAACATGACAAATTCTAACAAGGCAGTTTCTAAAGGGAAGAGTGTCAATTATTAATGCATAGATTATTTAAAACAGTTGATGATTTTATTTAAACTGAAAGAAACCAAAATGAAAAAAATGACAAGTTTCTACATATAAATTCACCACATGATGCAATGAAACATAAGATGCACTTCATGAAATTTCATGGGTAAGTTTATACTCTGAATTGGAAAACCAAAATAAAATAACACAAAGAAACTTCCTCTGTCATATCTGCCAGTAATTCTCCATCATTTGTTTATTATCTATGAATAATTTCATTCTAAATTACATTCCTTAGCCTCAATGATTGCAACATCCTGAAGAGCTAAAAGAATTGAAGAAACTTACAGGAACAACAGGAGCTAGGAGAAGTGCTGGGAAATACCATGCTTCTGAAGCATTTCTCAGAAAACAGTCTAGATTCCCTGAGCTCGCCAAAGAGGAGTGATTTGACTCTTCCAGGCCATAGCTAGGACTATTTAATTAGTATCAGCAGAAGAAAGAACAGACAAAGAAAAATTTTTTTAGTAGAACCTCAGCCATACAAGGCAGATTCTGAAAGACATATTTGCTTCTGTGTAATTTTAAATACTCCTCTAATTCAAATTTCACTGTCATAAAATTCTGGCACTCCCTCAGAAATGCTTCATGAAGTGAAAGAAAATCCAAATCCTTTTACATTCATATTGCTTTGAGTTCTCTTTATTATAACGATTATCCACTTTTGAGAAAAGCTATTTTGCATATATCTTAAATTCTTCATACTATACCTTAAAAGTGTCAGCACTGTTGGGATTAAACAGCTGGTGTTTCCCAGACCCCAAAATAATAGGACCAGAAGCTTTGTTTTCTCCATACGCATAAAGGGACACTGTTGCTGTTGTTCCAGCTGTTTCAAAATCCCCAGTGACCACAGTAATCTTCCACTCTCCTTCTGAAAAATAAAAATCAAATCAAAACTCTTCTATTGCTGTAACTGAGACACAGCAACTTACTCAGATAATAGAAAAAAAAGGCATTGTTTAGCCTTGAAACAGCAACTACTATGTACCTAAAAAGTAAGAGTGCTGGCAAAGGCCACATAAGACTGGCTAAATACGAAATCTTCCAAATTCTTCTTAGATAGAGCATGACTTTAATATCCTGCAAACCTGCTAAACCTGTAAAGCAGGAAAAATGACCACAGGCCCTAGTGACATTCCTGGAAACATCATAAATAAAAAAAAGAATCATCCTCCAGACTGGATTAATTACATCTCTAAAACAGAAATGAGACAGGAAAAACAACACAATCAGAACAACACAACTAAGAAAATTTTCTCTTAATTTTACAGTTTTAACATTACATTAATGTTATTATGTGATGTCTACAAGGGCTCTGTTTGCTTAGATGGAGACATGACATTGAGATTATCATGAAAAAAACATGGTGTTGGAGAAAATTCCACCACAAGAAGAAAATCTTAAGAAAATCAATTTATATAAAGCTTCCCTGACACTAAAATGTCATCTCTGTTCCCATACAATGCATATAAGTTATCTGAATAGCTGAAAGAAGCTTAATGCAAATCTCAGTTGAAAAAAATATTTGTAATTGGAAGATGCATTTATCCATCTAAAAAGCTGGGATTGCATGCACATAGAAAGCTGTCTAGTAATGTCTGCACAAATTAAATCTGATGTATGACAAAAGTATTTATTTTGGGCCAGCCTCATTATCCCTTAACTATTCGTCCCACTAGGACTGTAGTGGTGCAGAAAATTTTATCTCCTGTTTTCCAAATGTTCGAGGTCTGATTGGTTCTTGATTTCCACTCTCATGGTTTTATCTGTAGACACATTTTCTTGATGAAGGAACTCTACTGACAAGTTGCGTAAAGATCAGTGTTAATTAGAATGGTAGAATAGCAGAAGGTGGAGTCAAAGTCAGCAACAGATAGGGGTAATTCTGCCCGCAAAGGGAACATAGCTACAAAAGAAAACAAACAAACAAACAAAAGAAAAAAACAAAACAAACAAACAAACAAAAAACCCCCATCAAACCAAAAAAAAAGAAACAGCTGGAAATCTTTGGCTAGAAAATAATGCTCAGTGCATAAAAACTCATGAAGAATGATACAAAGAATAAAACAAGGCACACCATTCCTCTAGTCCAATGAAAAACTCAACATTCTTTGGGAAGCAAATATCCATTTTAAAATAGCCAAAACGTATTTTTGCTTGGCTTGTACATTGCCTGGTTTATAGTACCTCAAGTGGTTTGGATAGACTTTCCTATTCTATTAGGCTAAGTCTCTTTTCTTTTAATTTACGCAGGTTTAAAACAACTGGTTGGTACTCTTGCCTTCAAAGGCTGTGTGTGCTAACAATTGGCATGCAAAATACAATTCTCAGATTAAAAATGGAGCCAAACTTCCTCAAAAACATGATAAAAAGAATTTTTTTCATTCCTCTACTGATTTGGTGGCTTTTTTCTTCTGGAAACAGAAAGTTTTCTATTTGAAGGACAACATCGAAATAGGAGAAGGATCTTAAAAGTTCCTTCTTGATGCCAAAAATCCTCGTGGAACACTAAGTAGTAGCAACACATTGGTCATATTCTCTTTGCCATAGAAAGCTAGTATTCACTTTGGAATTGGTGAAAGACCAATACTTCCTTAATGACAACAAGGCTGCATATCTACAGGAGAAAAGAACAGGGGAAAAAAAAAAAGTGTAATTAGGTGATATTCCATAAGCATACATGGAGGAAAGGTGCAATCTAACACAATGAATGGCCTCCAGGATATCAGAAAAATGGTAACTTAACTCAAAGGATATTCTAGAAATCTAGACCTTTCTAGAACATCAGAAACACTACACTAGAAATTTCTACTGCCCAGAAGAGAATTCTATTTTGCAAACAATTCAGATGATATATTTCTGAATGAGCACATTTCTGTCTCCTAGGGTCAGGATGAGAGTGCTGTGATCAAAATGTTCATTACAAGGACTAGATGGTCTGAGGTAAAAGCCAATTGAACACTGGCATGCACTTAGTTTACTGT